GAAAGACGCGGTGTCGAGAAGTGTGAGCGTTATAAGACACAGCGCGAGAAGGTACGATTGGTTGTTATCAACGCTATTGTTACTATCCGATCTGTGGTCTTGACTTCTGTGCTAAATCCCGAGCTCACACATTACTTGGCGAGCATCTAGCGTTAGCATCCTCCTGAGAGTGGCATACGCATTTTTCATACCTGGGAGACATTGATCCCAATTCGTTGTGGCCGGTGAAAGGGCGGACGGGGCAACGAGCCGATCAAAGTCCGACCCTCGCCTGCTGCCTTCGAGGGTCCTTGAAGCCCCCCTCCCCTCTCACGTGGGGATGTGAGGAGAGGCGGGTAGTGGGGGTCGAGAGTTCTCGGGCGGCGGTGGACGTGGGCTTTCTGTGATTGTCCAATGTCCAGTCGCGGTTCCCGAGAGGGGTGCAATTGATCACTATTCCCCCTTCCCATCTCGAAACTTCCCCCCCGTACGTGTGTGTGTGTGTGTGTGAGCGACTCCCAGACGTCTCGCGAGGCCCGACGATCTTGCGTCATGGTGGAACCCAGTCCCCCTCCCTCCACCCCTCAATCAAGGCTGATGAGGACGAGTGACGGTTAGTTTACAGCCCACCGTCAGAAGCCAGAAAGAGACAGAGATAGTTTCTTGTTCCTGGCTGCGAGTCCCTAGGTGGTTGTGGAGATCATCGCGGCCCCTCCGTCCCTGATTTCATCTACCTAGCCTATCACACTAGTGTAGGTACACTACACGATGTTGCTGATGGTACGCGATAATAAAGTACGCAGGACCGGGGGGACGTAGGGTGAGTAAGCGCCGATCACTGATTGATAAAGTCGAATAAATGCCTGGTCCGGCCGGGGTCGAGGAGGGCTGGTTTCGGCACATGAGGCCGTCACCGACTGTATTGAGAGAGGGGGGGAGAGAGAGGGTTCGACCGGCTGTACATGTAGACGGGACCACTCTATTGCTACAGGGTAAGTCTGTGTTATAGTCACCAAATCGAGAGGTCAAAGCAATAAAAAAAATCATTGAACAGTATGGTTGGGTATATAATCTGTACTGAGATACATCTTGTAGAGAAAGCTCTACCAATAATGCGATTGGGAGCAGACTGGAGGCGGGATGTCATAGCGCCGCATGCGACTATCCCCTACACTCCGCTCTCCCCCTTCCCACCCCACCTGAAGCCCGGTCTTCCCGCCAATTATATAATTGATGGAGGGGGAAGCCATCCCGGAGTGTCCCGCTGCTAACGGTACTGGGAGTAAGGAAAAGCAAAGGAGGAAAAGCGTATTTGGCGTGATGCCTGACCCTAATGGCGTCATGGCGAATCCTGTAATTATCTCCTCGCTGCCAGCCTGGACCTAATGAAATCCTGCGACTCATGTTGTGATGTGTTGTGTTCCGTTTTGCGCCGTAACCCCCCCCCCCGTTGTTGTTAAATCCGGAACCCTAAACTGACGAGGGCCGACTGTGCACTGGCTCGCGAACCCGGGCCCCCGTTGCGGATGCGGCGCGTGACGGCCATCTGCGGTCGAGGGCGTAGGGCGCTTACAAGTCGAGCCTCAGAAATCAATGGATACCATGTCCTTGACGCCGTCCGGTGCGTGAACTCATGAGATTCGTGTGAATGGTCTCGCAGGCTCCCCGACAACCCGGGTTTCTGAGCCGTTGCCCGGTTGGAATAGCATGCATGCGCGTGAGATGCGACTTTGACGACGACGGTCGTCGATAGCTCCCAGCACCCTCGCCCAAGTTCAGCAAGATTTGGTCTGGGAGGTGATGAGAGCTTCCCCACAGCCCAGGCTCCTCCTCTATTTGGGCCCGGATCGCCAGGAGGAGCTTGAAGGGGGTCGCGTCATGGGCAGCGCGGTGTCACTGCGGTCGCTGTCCATGGATCGCTTCTCGGGGGACGGGCTGCGAGGAAAGTAGGACGTCATGTTGGGGGCCTGGACGCCGGGCGAGGGCAGGTCGGACGGCGAGCGGCGGGTCTCGCGCCAAGAGGCGTAGATGGACTTGCACAAGTGTGCGGACATGGTGTACGTGGGCGACATTTTTTCTGAATGTGTGTAGTCTGAAGTGAGACTTTGGGTTGTCGGTTGTATGAGAAGGGGGCTTCTCTAGTGTTGCTGGCCACCGAGGGTGGTTGCGTGCCTCTCCTGTAAGTGTCAAGTAAGGCTGAGGTGAAGCGAGCTGCAGTGCAGTTGATTGTGGGGTTCTCGACACGCGTCTTTGGGTGATGAACTTGTTGATGGGCTCGGTTTACTATTTATAATCCTTGTGAGGAAGAATGGGAAACAGGAGATGGGATATGGGAGGTTAAGAGGGGGTGGGCAGACGGGCTGCATTATATCTGGGCTGGGAAAAGTCCTAAAGGCAAACCGACACCAGGCACCAGGGGTCCCTTTTTCTCTCTGTGTGTGTTTCTGCTTCCGAGTCGATCGGTACGAATGCCAACATGTACATCACAATTGTCAACTTGGACCCAAACCCACGGGCGGGGGGTCCGCAAAACATGCGATTTGGCGTCAAAAAGGGCAAAAAACGGACGAGGACGGAGGACACGGGGGAGATTGTGTAGGTGTGACTCGCCACAAACCGCCCGCTGACTGGCGCTCTGCCCCCCCCTTTGGGTCGTCGGGCAGTGAGTTGCGAAAGCCTGGCTGGCGTCGGGCAGAGCCGCCATAGATGAGATGCTCCAATGAGGAGTTTGGAAACCCGGAGGCTGACGGTTTCTGGCCAATGATGGACGAGGTAAAGTAAGCAGTCGAGTCAATGTGGTGCAATCTGTGGGAGGATGGTGAGAGGGAAAACGTGTGATTCGAGGCCTGTGGCTGTGCTGAATGGCACCACGGACTGAAGTACGTATCCCAAGGCAGTAAGTGTCCCTCTTGGGTTGCCTCGATGTGGTTGGCTGGTAGATGGATCATCTGCTTGGCAGGGCATTAGGGAGTTTTTCGTGTGGTAGCCGCCTGTCGTATCTCCCCAGATTAAATTGCTTTACGCCGGCAAACAGCTCACTCGAAGGGGGTTGCTTTCTCTTTCGTCCACAGTCGACGCATCTGCGCCAGGATTGGCTGCTAGAGATACGACGGAGTGTATTGAATGGGCAGGTAGCCCCCGACAACGGTACGTCACCTCTTGCGTGTGTTGACGATGGGGAATGAGCAACCAAGAGGCGGTCGACACTAGCCACAAGCGGCCGATCGCCAGAGCCTGCAGGTACTGTTTGTGCACGCTGCAACACTTTCGGATGACCAGGGTCGAGGCCAAGGCAACAGCACCACAAACAACTACCTATGGACACATTGCACTCGTACCGCAGGAGCAAGAGGACCCGAGGTGTGCATGTCTGAGAATGGCAGGCAGACTCCGTGTGGAGGGGCCGCTTTCGGGTCGGAGCTTCCCCCGAGCCTGTTCCGACTTTCTTTCCCGACGGAATCCTCGAGGAGACCCGGCTGACTCAGCTACACGGTACCGACCGAAGCTATTAGTCGCACTAAATACTGTCCTCGAGGCTGGGTGTGGAAATCGTAGGCTCGCAAAAGTCACCGTCGGTAGTGTTTCTGCCTCGTGTAGCGTCACGAGATGTTGTTTCGGCTTTCGGAACGTTTCCAGGACTGCCATCTTGACAGCCAAAGCGACCAAGGAAATTCTGACAGTCCCGTCGGCGTTTGCAATGTGCGGGCCGATGATGGGAGATGTCCGGTGTGGTTCCATCGGCCCTTATCTAAATCGGCTTTTATCGGCGACATGATCGGGGTCAATGGCCTTCCACCCAAGTCATTCTAACAGTAGGGATAGATGCGAAAGACGGTTGCTGGAAGAATAAATAGAGGTTGTAGGTTGGACAATGTGGTCTCATAACGAGGCTGACTGGAGTTGACGATGAATACTATGTATTTCCAAATCTCGGTCTTCTGCACATCAACATCCGATATGGTGTAGTGGCCAACATGATGCCCTCTCATCCCTGTGAGAGGTTAGGCATAGCCCCGAGTTCGATTCTCGGTTTCGGAACATGTTCTTTTGCTTTTTTCCTCTTCGTCCGTCTATTCCAGTTCTTATATTTTATTTAACTGTTTGCCTCGTAGTCTTGAAAAGTGTCTTGGGTTTGTTTGTCTTATTTTACACGCCTATCCATCCATTCGTTCGTGTTCTGTTCCAGATGGGAAGCAAGCACCGTCACGTCTGGGCGTCCGTCTGACAGCTCCATCAAAGTCGAGGTCGGTTCAACGTGGCTGTCCATGTCCGGGAACAGACCAAGACGACAGACAGGCAGCAATCTGCACTGGCATGGCCAGCCGATGCTAACACTCGACGCGCACGTCAAAGTGCACGAACCGGCCGTCATCCGTCATCAGCCGCCACAGTCCGTCAACGCGCTAGTCCGCGTGTCACCGCACAATTCAGGTAGGCCGAGGGTGCCGTCCATCGTTGAGTTGACGGCTTGGCAGGCCAGACGTCGCCGGTGGCAGTGGCATACTACTAAGATGCACATGGCTTAACAGTTCCGTAGGACTCACCGGACGGACGCCGTCGTTTCACCGTGGGCCGCTAGTACTCCTACCCCAGGGCTGACGAGCGCGCGACAGGCACTGCAAGGAGGGCACGGAAGTAATAACTCAGACCTTGGCCACGGGATATAGGTATAATAGCGGCCATGTTATCGAGAGGTTCGCGCCGGTGAGTCGTCGGCGAGGAAAGGGAGGGCCGCAGAGCTTACACGATTCACCATCCGCACAGTCGGCGGTCGGCTGTGAGAGAGACCACGTAGCGAACGCCCATGTCTTGGAAGGCAGGAGGTGCATCAGTGTACCATCAGTGACGATGTCGGCTTGGGCGGTCAATGTCTGTCTGGGACGGCGATGGCGACCGAAGCAGGTGGGGACAGGAGGAGATTGGAGGGTTGAGAAAGAAGCAGGCCGGTTCTATACCACTGCGACGCTGCCATCGACCCTTGCCCCAAAAGGGTCTCCTGTCTGTTTCGGCAAGATGGGAGAGAGAGCACGAGAAATGGGTGTCTCTCACGAACCAAGTTGAATGAAGCTCCGATCATGGGCAAAAAAATGGGCGTAGAATGAGGCCAAGATACAATTAGGCTTCGCCCTTCTCGAACGGAGCAAGCAAGCAAGCAAGCAATGCCTAGGTCATGACAAAAGGAGCCATGACCAACGGGTTGGTTGGGTTTGTTATAGATGCGCCGACATATGGTTCGACGGGCATTTTTGCCTTCATCTGTCGGTATCTAAATTTTTTGTCACGTCCTCAAGCAGCGAGTGCGGGTTTGCTGAGGGCTAATGGATTAAGCAAAGCAAGCCCCTGGAGGCTGTGCGCATAAAGGTGTGTGTGGTGCTGTTCCCTCTTCTCCCTTTGGGTGCATACCGGTATTAGCGACTGAAACATGGCCTCTAGGTGGTGGTTGAGGATTTGGAAGGGGGGGGGGGGGGGGGGGTTAACGATGGAGGGGTGAGGGGGATATGCCGCAGGGATGACTGAGCTTCGAGTGGGTCAGGATGGGGACCTCTCGTGGGTATCGCATAAAGGATGGAGGTTTTTTCGCCGGGTGTTGCCAAGACGGACTCGATCATTCATGCCTTCAATGGCGGAACGAAGAGGCTTGATCTGGAGGGAGAAGGTGCCCCGCCCCACTCCTTTTGAATGTGAGTCGTGATGTTGCGCCTAATCTTGACTCGACTCATCAATAGTCGGCAGAGCCGAGGAAAGCGAGAAAGGTGGGCTCTTTCGGTTGCCATGTCAAGAGACATTTTCCTCTGAGAGACATTCTATCATCATCTCAGCCAGACGAACAAGAAGAACCAGTCCGACTTGCAAAGAGGGGGAGGGGGGGACGAATGCACAGCGATATGGCGACGCATTGGTCGTATCGTATCCGTACATAGACGTACACTGCTTTGGTGGCAGTCTACCTACTATGTATCCGTAAGGTAGGTAGTACGTAGTAGTATGAAGGTGGGCAGTGTATCCGTACTCCGTACTAGAGAAAGCGAGCCATTTTAACCCCCTGTAAAGTACCTACCTGGCTAGGAGGTGGAGGGAAGCCCTAGGAAAGCCGTGCAGACAGACATACTACTTACTAACTACCTACATGCCCGTCATCCATTGATCGGTTGGCCGTTTCCTCCCAGCGCATGCCGGCACTTGGAACCCGCACCCAATCCCGGAATTTTTAAGCCTGTCGGTCTGAAACGGCAACGGCCAACTTATCGTTGCATCCCAACGTGGCCGAGCCCTCGTCTGAACCAGGTTCGGTGGCGCCGCCGATGGCAGCCTGGCCGCCCGGCCTCACTCCCGCTTTCCAAAAAGGAAAGAGGCCGTAAACCGCTCGAGCCTTTCTTTGCCCGTCGGTTGGTACCGTCGGCGATTCCCAAATTACTGACACGGACGACGGGGGCGCATTGAGTCGACCAATGTTCGAATCCCCTTGGTCTTCTTGTTCTTCTTCCCAAACGCCAAAAAAATAAACAATGGTGCCGTATCTATCGTCAGACAAGCGAGACAAAGTATCACCAATTTCCATTTCACCTTTATTTTCCCATTCAAACATTTCCCTCCACCTGTTCTATTACCTTCCATTCGCAGACTATCGAACCGTTCGAGGTTAACCCCCGTCTCGGTCCTAGACTCGATCCCAAAAAACTGCTCATCTCATCACCCCTCAGCCACCCCCCCCAAAGCACGGTGGCCGGTCTGGTTCTTGCCACTGAGACGGACCCTCTCCGTCCCTTCTTTTCATCTCATCCAATCCATTACTACTAGAGTACCCAGAGGTGAGGGAAGCGGATCGGGCTGGGTTACCCTCATCAAGCATCGAAAGGGCTGCCATCCCATCTTGCATCTCAAGCCTCATGCCGTCAACATCCCTGATACCCTGCCAGCCCCTCCCCTCCCATCCTCCATTATCGGGCATTATCCAGAGGCGCCCCCCCCTGCTGTCTTGATCCATCTGTCCTCTCTACCCCCTGCTCATCCCCTTGGTCTGCACTGCGGCTCACGCATCCATCCCATCGGCATCAAGAGAGAGAGCGAGTACGGGAGGGTTTGTAGCCAGCCCTTTGCGAGTCTCGAATCCTCCACTCCAACGAAACAAGGTTCTCCTCCTCCTCTTCTTCTTCCAAACAAACATGGCCCCTCCCCTGTCCATGATCTGCCCATGCCCTTAGTCCAAAAATCCGATGTCCATGCACCTTGCCAGGCAGCCTCTCCCGCGCCCCTGCCAGCCGGCCGTCCGAGTCCCCTCTACCATATGCAATACCTATACAAGACGATTGCAGAATCCTTGCGCTTCGCCATGGAATGTCCTTTTCCTCTTCCCATCCTCATCCCGCCTCCTTCACCAAACGTGTCAGTTACACGCCCTCTAAAACTCTATCCTGTTTTGTCTTTTTTGGTGGTCGATCCGGACGAGACCAAGACACAAACTTACTACAGACATACCGGTACTTGCTTCGAAGCCTACACTCTTTCGGCTTTCGTTGCTGCACGCCCATCCCGCATTGGCCGACTTGAGGAGTTATACTATACCACCCGCTCCTTCTCCATATTTCGACACTCAATACCGGTCGTTTCCTCCTCCTGCTTTACTTCCTTTTCTTCTTCTTCTTCCTTTTCCTGTTTACTTATTTAATCTCTCCATGTCCATGTGCTGCGCCTGCGATCCTACGCTGCTGTCGTCCGTAAGGTTATGGAGGTTGTAATCCCACCCAGAGATCATGGAGCGTCGTACAGATACGTTTGGGACGACGACGGTGCCGTCAAGAGGGTAGAAAGGTGCGTTCAAGCCAGGCCCTCTCCTGGTTCCTGCCTCTGCATTTTCGGCGATAACCTGACAGTGGCCAGAGTTCCCAAGCACCAAAAATCGCACCAGAGGGACAGCACGATCAGCAGACAGACGGTGCCGTGGCCCTTTCTCCGGCACCAGGCCTCCGCTTCCGATGTCGAGTCGCGACCCTTCACTGCCTTCACCGGCTTCACCGGTTTCACTGGTTTCACCGGCAGTTACCCGGAGCCCCCGAGACGAGCGACCTGGGCACCCGGAAAACGCAACTCGACGGCCACCATCCTCGAGAACATCGTTCCGGACTACATTATCAATTACATCAGAGGAGAGACGCCTGAGACCATGGCGCGCAGGAGAGAGGAGCGTCACAGACAGACGCAGAGCCCCGACATGCTCCAGGAGAATGCACCCAGAGGCGCCAACGTAATGAGCTCACATGCATATTACGATGAGGCCACGACAAACACCCTTTCGACGGCCGCGGCCAACGACGACCTGGAACGGATGCTGCCACCCAACGAGAAGAGGAGGCCTGACGGCACCCTCACTAGAATGAGCTCAGGGTGGAGGGCCGGCGTCGCCTTGAACATCGTCATCGGCATCCTCATTGTTGTCGTTGCCATTGTGTGCCTGGTGCTCGCCGTCGCTGTCGCCGGCATGGCCAGGGGCGAGAGCCGCCTCTTCGAGGGTGACTGCGCGGTCGCCAGGGATATCAAGATCGGCGTCTTCGTCGCCATCAACGTCATCGCCGTCGTGCTGCTGTCGGCCGCCAACTACGTCTTTCAGGTACTGAGCAGTCCCACGCGCGTCGAGATCGATACGGCGCACAACGAGAAGCGGTGGCTTCACATCGGTATCCCTTCGTTCAGGAATCTGCGTTTCGTCTCGAAACCGCGGGTCATCATGGCGGTCATCATTATGCTTGCGGCCGTCAGTACCCAAGTAGTGTACGTCGTGCCCCGCCCCCAACCCGCGTTTTCCTCTCTGCTCTTCTTCTTCTTCTTCTTCTTCTTCTTCTTCTTCATTGACAGGCCTCGCCACTGACCGCCTTGATCAGTTATAATGCCATTGTATTCTCGACGCAAACCGCCTTCGACCACCAGGTCGTCTTCGTCACCCGAGGCTTCCTTACGTCCGGGCAGTTCAGCAACGCGTCCGAAACCAACGCCGGTGGCCTCTCGCGTACCGACATCCTCGTCCTTCAGGACCAGGCTTCCCGCGGGGACCTGACACAACTCACAAACGCCGCCTGCGCGGCGCAGTTTGGCGGCGTGTTCCAGTCCGACTTCAGCGCCGTCGTCCTCGTCACCGACGTCGCCGCACCCGCGAACGCTCTCGTGCAGACGCAACGGCCCGGCTCCTCCCTCGCGCAGTTCATCGACCCGTCTGATCCCTCGCGGATCAGGATCAACCGCTCCTCGGTGGATTACTGCCTCGCCCGCCCCGAGGGCCCCAAGTCGTGTACCGTGATCCTTAACGGCTCGCTCCTCGGCGTCATCATCGTTCTCAACCTCGTCTCCGTTTCCGCCATCGGCGCCGTCTACTTCTTTTCCGGCTTCGAGCCCCTCGTCACCCTCGGCGACGCCGTCGCCTCCTTCCTCATGCAGCCCGACTATACAACCCGCGGCATCTGCCTCCTCGACAAGGACGATGTCAAGCAAGGGCGATGGGGGTACCGTGAGGCAAAGTACTGGATCTCGCGAGACCACTTCTGGCTCCAAACCCCAGGCCTCACCACCTGGATGATCTGGCTTATCACCTGGGTTATGCCTACAGGCCTCGCCGCCGCAGCACTCGGCGTGACACTCGCCCAAGGCCCGACGTCCTCGCTCAGCCCATTCGGCAGTGCCCGCCCCCACGAGCTGTACACCCTCCCCAGCAGCGCTCCACGCGCGGGCGTCGCCATCCTCGCCGCCCTTCCCCACCTCCTCCTTGCGGCGCTGTACCTCTCAACTAACACCCTGCTTACGTCCTACTCTCTCTCCCACGAGATGAGCCAATACGCATTGCCGGGCATCGCCCTCCCCCTCCGCGTCAGCTCTGGGCGTCCACAAGGCGCCCAGACCGCCTCTCTCTACCTGACCCTTCCACGCCCTTATTCCTGGCTCCTCCTGGGCCTCTTTTCCGCCGCTGGCTTTGTGCTGAGCAACGCCGTTTTCGTGGTCTCGGTCAACGTTCTCCCTGCCGTCATGGACGAAAAGCCCCCCGCCCCAATCTACGGCATCGGCTTCAGCGGCGTCGGGCTCCTCTCCTTCCTCTCCTTGATGGTCTTCACCGTGGGGCTGGTCCTCGGCCTCGGTCTCCGGCGCGCGGACCCGTCGCCGACGAGCGTCGACGGCGAGAAGGCGGGCAACCCGCTCGTGTTGCGGGGCGGGAGCTGCTCTGCCGTCATCAGCGCGCGGTGCCACCGCCCCGCGAGGGACATGGGCGCGGCTTTCAAGAAAGTCGCGTGGGGCGTCACCGACCAGGACCTTGAAACCACCTTCGGCCATACCACGTTTTCCAGCCAGGCCGTGAGCGTGCTGGACCCCGCCAAGGGCTACGCGTAGAAGCCACCTGTCGTTTTTTTCTTCTTTTCTTCTTTTTTTCCTTCTTTTCTTCTTCTTTTTCTTCTTTTTTTTTTCTTTGGGGCGTCGGCCGTCTTTACTGCTGCGCCTTAGGGTCTTTTCCTGCTTCTGCAGTTCATGGCTCTGTTTTGCTTCTTTTTCTGTACTTTCTGCTCAGTTGTACATATATCGGCATTCAAAAGTTTGCTTGCGGGGAGCATGGTAATGGTGTTAATGAGGGGCTGGTGTTGATTCTCTATAGTGTTTTTCCCCCCTTGATTGGGACGGTGGGGGGAGGCGTATACTAAATGCAGTGGCAAGCAAGACCACTCAGTAGTTGGCTAGGCCTACTTACATATATAGGGATGAACTTTGCGATGTGTATATGGAAGAGGGCGATGATATGACTTGAAAGGGTCAAGGACGCTGGCGGATGTTGTACTACGTTTATACCCGAGTGTTTTTCTTAGCTGGTCAGGCACACAGAATACAGAGAGCCCTCTGGACGAGGGCCCCTAGGAATTGGATACGTTTGAAAACAGAGGCTTGCCTTGCCATCATGGCACGAATTCGATATGTTGCGCATTGCTTTTCCATACTTGGCCGTCTCTCTCTCTCTCTCTCTCTCTATCCGTGGGGCGTACCATCACCTCCCGGATCGCGAGCTCGCTGCCCGAGATTCCTTGAAAGACAAAATTGATACAGAGGAACCGCGGCAAAAGAAGGGCAACAAGAAAAAAAATAGGGGGGGGGGCTCAGCCGACACAGTGTCGACCTACTCGACACCGCTTGGTTGCTAACTGTTTATTCGCAGGATTGATCGCCCTGATGCTAAGAACTCTACCTGAGAACGGGTTCCTCTAAAAGAAATGTATCTCCCGGTAACTATATATAATAGTCGTTGTGTGAATGGGGTACTTCGTAGTATCTAAGTGCCCTCCTTACCTCGGATATATGAGATGAGCGTGTTAAGTATCTCTCCTGCTCTTTTGCTAGCAAATACCACACCCAGTTAAGCTCATACGATAAAATACAATCCAGGGCCTCAACCCACGGGGGGGTGGAGTTTATGGGTACCACGCGGTGGGGGGGGGGGGGGGGGGCCCAACGGTCCTGCAAGGGATATCGCTTGGGATAAATGATGACTACGCCTCTTGTAGTTCGTCGACACTACGCTTCCAGAACAGGATAATGGACTTTGTGGAATTGACGGCCCGCGGTTTCTTCCAAATTTCATCTTCTCTTTATCTAGGTATGTTTAGACCATTTATCCGAATCTTGTAAAATGAAACTCCCGATTTCCCCAGAGCACTCGCCCATTCCCTCCTCCCGCAAAACGCCTTCAAGCCCAATGGAATCCATTTACCCCTTTAGATTGACACACGCACACATACACAAACGCACGCTATGCATCCTCCCCTCATCCGTATATATTGAAAAACACCACTGAGGAAAGGGCAAACAGAAAAAGTGCAAGATGCGGAAAATGAAAAAAAAAAATTGTTTCCCTTCCGACGAGCGGCCTAAGCGAAGACGGGGGCGATGTTGGCCTTCTCGATGCTGGGGGAGGCGACGCTGAAGACGTCGGGCCAGAGGAACATCTTCTCCTCGGCCGGGGTGATGGCGACCATGCGGGGGATGGCGCTCTTGCTCGAGACGCGGCGCCACATATTGGCGCGCGGGTTGAAGGCGACGGGCATGCCTTTGCCGCCCGTCTTCCTGTCGTCCTCGGCGCGGATGCGGGCGATCTCCTTCTGGATGTCGGCGAAGGTGTCGAAGGGGGTGTAGGCGATGCCGTTCTCGACGCAGTACTCCTCGAGGCGCAGGCCGCGGCGGGCGAAGAGCACGTCGGCCTGGCGGGCGGCGGGGAGGTCGGACACGCCGTCGCCGATGAAGACGATGAGGGGGATGGTGCCGTCCTCGCACGCCATCTCGGCCTGCTCGCGGGCCTCGCCCATGGAGAGGGCCTTGTCGTGGCCGAGCTCGTTGTCGTGGAGCCAGACGGGCTTCCAGGCGGAGCCGTCGTCGGTGATCTCGGCGTCGTTGGCGACGATGTCAATGTGCGACGAGGCGTCCTCGCCGAGGAAGGTGTCGAGCACGCGGCGGAGGATGGGCTTCAGGCCCGCCGAGATGACGTTGAAGGGGATGTCGTTGTCGACGCAGAACTTGTGGAACTCCTGGAAGTCCGGGTCGATCTCGAGCGTCTTGTCCATGACCTCGAAGCCGTCGTCAAAGGGGACGTTGAGGGAGCCCCACATCTCCTCCGACACGTCGCGGAAGGAGCGCTCGCCCGTCTTGATCTGCTCGTCGAGTATCTCGCGCTTCTTGGAGCCGCAGCCGTGGTGATCGAAGAGGATGTGGCCGGTGTCCTGCATGAAGATGGTGCCGTCAAAGTCTAAGAAGAAGCGACGGTTTCTGTTAGTCATACGATGAGGTTTTGGTGGACCGCAAGGGGTTTCTGATCGTACCTGAGAAGCAGATGATCTTGCGCTTCTTGTTCTCGGCGACGGACGAGAGGCCCGACTCTGCGGCGGCCTTGACCGTGCCGGGGGAGATGGCGATAGGCATTGTGAGGGGTCTGTTGTGGGTAGGTCTTGATTTTGCTTCAAGTGGTGGATATGGTCCGAGTGGGATGGCAAAGGAATATAGTATGTAGACCGTTTATGTAGACTAATGTTCGTAGAGGAAGCAAAGGCGATGGGTTATTAGAGTTGTCGCGTATCAGTTTCAACGGGATTCGGCCAGCTTTATAGAAGTCAATGCCCAGACACACCACACACATACACACGATGCCGCTGCCGGACGGGAGCGGTAGCGGCAACCCCCCTTCGCCCAAAAAAGGACAAGGGGGAAAGGCGCAGAGTCATCCGTCCGGTTCTTTCACGATGACGCCCTGGAACGTCTAGTGGAGGTTTGGCTCACCCCCCCCTGCCCCCGTCCTTTCAGCAACTCAGTGTACACACGGGAGGAGACGTCAGGTCGCGCCAAACTGGATATGCAGAGCAGAGACGACCATCGGAAAAAAAAAAAAACGCACGGCTAGGCAAATGTCTGCCTGCCTGCCCGCCAGCAACACGACTCTGCACTTTTGGGGGGGTGGGAAAGCCGCTTCCGGGAGGCTCCAATGTACAACAACAGCAAGCGGCCGAAGGACGCCGACTCGGACGGCGTCAAACGGGCGCACCGCAGAAGCAGAGTGGCAGTCGCCAACGGAGGCTACATACGATGACGGCGTCTCGCAGAACTCGCAGGCATCTGACTTTTCCGGACCATGCCCAATCGGGGAGCGTGGTGCAATCAAGGAGCCGGGGCCTGCTCCATCGGGATGATTGGGTGGCTCTCGTTCGCCCGTCTCCTCTCGGATCTGGATTTTTGGGAGGAGCTGAGGCGCGTATGGCAAAGGCTCTTACGCTGTGTTGCCACGCTCTTCACACCATCCCGGAAAGACGGCCGGCAGTCTCGAGATTGGGCTGTGTGCAAACTAGCAGACTGGCGCTTCGGAGCTTCCTGACAACCAAAAAGACTCATGGCTGTTGGTCTCGCAGAGCCTCTTGTCGCTGATCGCCAGGAGAAACTCCCACAAACATGCCGGACACGGAACGGGCCCGCGCGTGGAATGGCAGATCTGGCTGTCAGCACATCAACTCAGGTGGCAGTAATCAGAATCAGTGTGGCCCAGTCCAACCATTTCCGACCGTTCGAGACATCATCCATCGCTCTGGCCGATGAATGGCTGCTGAATCCGATACCACGGTCGACGCGGTCTCTGTTCACTCGAGCGTGGGGGCTCGGGATACGACATGATACATCCGTCTAAAGTTGTCGATTGAACAGAACATCCCAGCCCCGGACGGCCGCTTTACCATAAGCCTGACCACATCGGTGCACCGGGAAGAACGGGAAGGGCACATTAGGTCATTGAGACCTGACGACATGCCATCATGCCACCGAGGGCGAAGTCTTCATCTAGCCCCTCTTCTGCGTGCGCCAAGGTGAGTGAGCACTGAGCAGGCAAAGGATCGAAGGAAAGTCTAAAAATGAGGATGCGGAGAGACTTGCTGCATGTAGCGTAGAGGAACCCCGCGGCTTTTCCATGATGCGTGCAGGAACGGGCACGAATGAAACCTGGCCATTCCAGGTCCTCTTGGCCCACCCATCTTTGGCGACGGGGAAAAAAGATCGAGGAATCGAAGATTCAAAACTACCAAGTCCGATGATGTCATTCCGTCCCGGGTGGGGGCACTTCGCTGAGAAATGCCCATGTTCGCGTCCGGCAGGCAGTTTCGGCGATGCACTTAACCTCCAAGGGCGCGCTAGTCAAGTAACTTTGTATCGTAACGCGGCAGCAGCGCGCTGCAGAGAACCATGTTTAGCTTGCTGCCTTTGTTGACTCGTCCGGGGGTTGGCTTGCTGCACTGTTGCTGCACTCCAGTTCGTCTAGCCCAAGGCCCGTGGAGACAGCATATGCATTGCGAAAGGGGCTTGAGCGTCCAGATCGAACTAGTCAAGGCCGAGAATCCTGGGGAGGCGAACAAGCCTCAAATGTATCCATCCCATCTGCAGCTGCCCAGGCTTCCCATTCGTCTTCGTCTGGTATCTCGCTAGCCTCGCAACATACAGAACAAGAAACTCTGCCGGCGACTGCATGAGGAGGCATCCATCCCTCTGTTAGTCATTCGACACCCATGCCCGCTTTGGCGGTGAGCACAGAGAGAGGCACATGCTGTGCAAAAGGTGAATCTGACCAGTAGGGACTCTTATCGTGGATGTTAAACCACGGCGAGCCCCTCTCTGGCTCGCAGCCCTGGCCGTCTTCGCCAAACCGATGACGGTTGTAAGTCTTCCTTTAAGGGACATTTGCATGTGCTTGAGCGATTATTGAGCCGAGCAGTTCGTCATATCGTGTCAGGGTAGCTGCATAGTACCGTCTTGGGGGGTTAGAACCTCTTCAAGCCCCGCGAATCGACGCAAGACCCTGAGTGCCCCTCTTGGATGTCTTGTCTTGGCTCCACAACGACATACGGCGGGATGAAATTCGATGCTGTGCGATGCGAAAGATGGGTGGCAACAATTTGTGGCTATCTCTTATGGCTCTAGCCGAAAGTCCCTGCCGGACAACCTGCTCCGTCAGCAACAACTTGGACCGCACGTTCAATTGGGTAGTCCAGAGGCAAGCCTTAGCCAACAATGTCTGCCACGAACTTGTACTTGCTATTGTGAGAGCAAGCCCTGACTCGGGATGAGAGGATCAGCCACCCGGCCGGTGGCTGTTACTAGTCAAGAACGGGATAGCCATGATGCCTATGGGCCAATGTCAAAAGCCATCGATCCGCCACCTTGGTGCGAGGCTTCGGCCAACCGGCCTTTCCCGGCTCGGCCTCCTATCGTTCCGCATGGTTAACTATGCACGCCCCCGACCGGAAAGCTGGCCAGATGAGACGGGCGAAACAATGGACCCTTCGAGCCCTGTTGATCACTGGTGGAGTGGGCGGGGTCGCGTGCAACTGGCAAACAATCGGGCTTCTAGAGAAGACGAGGGAATGGGTATCTGTCAAGCGGAAAGTAGTAATTCGGGGGGTCTCGTTGCGCTTTTCCGAGCCGTCGTGTCCATTTGAGCTCCTCTAAACCGTACGCCTAACATTATGCCTCATCAGCAGTACATCAACCCTACAGCCTAAGCCGACACCTTGGCGCTGTACTTGGTCGCCGCCTTGTCGAAAAGCGCGCTCTTCTCCTCCAGGTCCGCAAGGAACTGGTGCTGAGGGTCCGCCGCCTTCAATTTTCTGTGCCCACCTGGTCAGCCAGTTGTCTCGGAATGGGGGACGCATCGGAACTTACTCCGTGAACTCCTTAGGATCCTTGCCCGAGATCACTGTCAACACCAGCAGGTTGGCAATGGCCTGGGCGTAGTTAGCGTCCTTCGCAAGGGCTTGATCCAACGCAGCCTGTGCCTCCTCTGTTCGGCCAAGGTGCAGCTCTGCAACGGCCTGGGAGACGAGAGTCACGACCGACGATGTCGCCGGTGCCTGCGCAAGCTCCTCAAACACGTAAAAAGCCTGCTGGTATTTGTCTCCGCCCTGTTGTCACTTTAGTATTTTGTCGCCGGACTCGGGCCTTGGTCCATCGTACCTGTCGCAAACCGACCCACGATTCGGCCAGGTTGACCAGCAAGCTATCCTGTGCCCATCTTCTGGCGGCGGTGACTTCCTTGAGGGCGAGGTCGTTGCGGTTCTGTTGGAGGTGGATCTGGGCGATAAGGGCGACAGCGTCAACTACAAATTACACATTAATTAGCACGCGTTATCCCATGAGGCGTATATCTGCCAAACGTACGGCTTCCCTGGTGCTGCGATAACAACGCAAGTGCCTCCTCTGACTTGCCAGCGGCCTGCAGAACTGTGCCTCCAACAATCTGGACTGTAGTGTTGGCTCCCTCGGAAGCGGCGAGCTTCTCGATCGTCTTCACGGCAGAATCTGTCTTGCCGAGGGCGCTCTCAGCGAGTGCGCCAAGGGCTACCAGTTCCGGCTCCTTCTCTCCCTGTACTTCGGCGAGGACATCCGTGGCTTGGCCAAGAGCAATGCGGGCGCGCAGGACCAGGACGCGAGCGGGAAGCTCATTCTCGGGGGACAGGGCGGAAGTGTCGTAGTCGATGACCTCCTGGTACTGGCCCTGGTGGAAGTGGCTGTGGATGTTGATCAGTTCGCCTTCGGCAGAGTAGGGGTCCATTTTGGCGGTTTCGTTGGAAGTGGTAGTTCGTCGTTGGTTGTTGATGCCAAATGACAGCCAGCTGCGATGTGTTCCTCTCGATCACTTAACTAGTGTGGGGGGGACTTTGAGCAACGTGGAACCCTGAGAAGGCACGGAGGATGCCGGCCGGGAAGTGGACCCGACGAGTGGTCTGTGCGTCTTCGATGTCTACTATGTAGGCCATACCGACGACACCAGCCAGACAACACCTCGTGGTCACAGCCTCCGTCAACATGGGCTCGCGCCAGGATAGAGCTTAGAACATGCTGTTTTGTTATACGACTTTTTTCGAACTACCAAGTTCCACAGACAGATACTTCAATGTGTCGTTTTCGAACCAACTGGTCTTAGATGTGTTTGGCTCTGTCACTCTCCTTTCTGGACCCTTTGCGCGGTATTCGGCATGTAGATGCGGCAAAGCGATCCAGTGACTGTAACTTCAGCAGGGTGGATTCTTCAATTGGGGCTCATACAGCCAATACGAAGTTGTACTTCGAAAATGAGATGGATAGAAATCGCGAACAATACGGACAAGAGCCAGTATCGAACCTCCTTCGTATGTGTACAACGCGTTTTCATGCTTGATGAGCAGGTTAGCATACATATCGTAATGACATACAATAGAAACTTTTGATTCAGGATACAAATAACTGTATGAATTCTATTGATATCATCCAATGTGACCGTTGTGATGAATGTCCTCGTGGCATTCCGGGGCTGGCTATGCCCTGGCAGCAAGTCTTCCTAGTTGCAGACCAGCCTTTTCAGATGGGGTCAACTACACTACGATGAGAGGATCAAGGAAGGAACCCCTCTAATATCTGGCTCCTTCCAAGTGGATTTTACTTTCCCTCATTCCCGTCCTTACAAGTCAGACAACGCCTGTGTATCTATCTCGCCTCACTCCCCTTTGACACTCTCATATTCACAGAAGCATTATTCTTCACATTCCCTTCCTTCCTCACATCCACTTGTTACCCTTTGTCAACAGTGAATATTTTATTTCACTCGCCAATCTTCCCCATGAGGATCCGTCTTTGGTTACGGGTACGCTTCATCCTGTTTGCTGCCGTCTGTCACCTGCTTGCTCTTAGCCTTCGCGCCCGCCTCATTCGTGACTGTCGGGCTCGACGACCTCTTCGCTCTTATTACAGCTGAGTTATTACACGATTTCACTTGTCTCATCGGAAATTTATCACAAATACTCAAAGAGATGGACCCGCTCGAGCTAGAACTACATACAGGAGGCTCCGACAACCCCAGAGCCCCCCCACAGCCCTGCATTCTCGATCGAAAGAGGCCCGTTGCCCGCTTTCCCGAGACATTCTCTTCGAACCTCGGCCGGAAAGCTTCTTCGTTCTTCTCTCAAGAAGATTCAGCTTCTGGCGTCGACAAAAACTACCCTTCTCCTCCTCCCATTCCCGAGAGCAAGAGCGTTCTTCATCGCAAACGAGACATCATTTCTGGCTTGCCTTCTCCTCAACCCCTACCTCGCAATCGGCAGCTATCAACTGTTTCTTCTGTCAAAGCCATGGTTGCCAAGTTTGAGAGCGTTGGGGACGCTCTTGAGAAGTCTGACAAAATGGCTGATCACGAGGATCATCACCTCATTCCCTCTTCGCCCGTTGTCGACAAGCACAAGGACAAAGCCTCCTTCGCCGATGATGCCGACACCAGCGCTGCCTCGCCAAAAAATTGTCAACCTTCCAATATTGGCGAAGGAAAATCTGATAATAGCGACGTCGATCTCGAGTTCCTCAAAATGCAGGACTTCTTCAAGGGTGAGCCTCTTGCTCGTTGCCTCGAAGACTACATCCCTCCAACCTACATCGACAAGAAGACGAAGATCCTTTCTCCGGAAAAGGATTGTGGCAAGTCTATGGAGAAGGCCGCCAAAGTTGAGCTCTGGAACAAGCTGGCCTCCCTTACCGACACTCTCGAAGCGCAATACCCATCTGTCAAGGAAGAGCGCGAGGCCAAGCATGCAGTCATTTCTGCGGCGGCTGCTTACCTTGAAGAGGCTCTCGGAGAGTCACCTAAGAAGCTACCCCAGGTAGATGCGGCACAGACAAGCACCAAGGCCTCTCGAAGAGCAGAGAAGAAGGCACAGAAGAAAGCTGACAAGAAGGCTCAAAAGGCTGCCAAGCTGGACAGCTCCATCGCCAACACTCTTGAAGCCGCCTCATCGTCCATGACTAAACAGGCTGCCCGAGATGAACCGTCACTTCGCGAAAAGTACCCTGAGATCTTTGCCAAGATCGACTATTGGAGATCTCTTCCAGACCCCGATGCGCCAGCTGATGTTGACGGTGACTATACCTCGATTGCTGACATCGACTCTTCTCAGTCGACTGGCCAGCCTATTTCTCAGTCAATCAATCAACTCGTTTCGGAGACTGTTGTGGAAGAAGCTCAGTCGATCCCAAAGCAGCACCACAATACTCTGTCGACCAAGACCGAGGATGACAAGACCATTGCTAATGATTCCTCCGAGAGTGATAATTGGAGCACTGGCTCGTCTAATGGCGACCCGTTCTACCTGAACAAATACCTCACTCCGTCTTATCAGGCTGCTGCCAAAGTCTTCCTTGAGGACTTTGACCGAAAGAATCCTACTCAGCCTATTACCAAATCGATAGTTCAGCAAGCCCCCCCCGAGGCTACTGAAGGCGAGGAGTCATTCCAATTCGTTCAGAGAGACCCAAAGGAGGTGGATACGTTCTAGAAAGGCGTGCGAACCGCTCTCCATGTCTCCGATAACGAGCTTTCCGATGCTGAGGAAACCAAGAAGGACAAGGCTATAGATGCTGCTGAGAAGAAGGCAACTGAGCTCAACAAGCGCCCCCACGAACGCGTCGACGCTGCTCACGCCGACGGAAACATCGCTCATTTCGTCAATTACAAGTCTGTTCGTGACGCCATTGGGACGAACATCAAGAAAGAGGATATCGTCCCCGGCTTCGGCCAGAAGAAGCAGCCTGCTCCCGACTTTGACGAAGAGGCTTATGCCACGCGCTCAATCGCTTCCCATACTTTGAAGCCTGCCCCGCTGCGTCTTCCTTCCCGCATGAAGAAGCCCGTTACTGGCAACGACACGACCAACGTCAAGAGCACCACTCCGACTCAGGCTGAGACCCCTCTGCCCCCCGGTGCGCTGTTGGTCAATACCAACAAGTACCGCATGGTCACCGGAGATTTTGCAACTCTCGGCGTTGGCTTCGGCAAAACAAGCAACAGAATCGCCAGCGGTTCCTCTACTCACAGCACCCGTGGCGCCGTCAACTTCAGCTGGCCCAAGGCCCAGCATGCCGATGCCAAGAACAAGTACGAGTTCAACGACGAAGATGACTCGGACTACGACATCGACAAGAAGTCCAACACTGTTCCTACCAAGCTCAATACTAGTGCTCGAAACACGGACTCTGCTTCAGTTCATCCCCGAATTGTGAGTGCTGGTGGCCGAGCCCGTGAGATGCGCAAGGATGGCGACGCTTTCGACAACAAATCGACTCATGGGCACCATGGCTCGGCGGCTTCTATCACCGCTCAGTCCAAAGGTTCTTCTCAGAAATTGTCATACACATCTGCCCAGCCGAACACTACTTCCGCAAAGGGCAACTACGAAGAGGCGCAACGCCGCAGTTTCACTGCAGACGAGTACCAGACTCTCATTCAGGAAGATTACGATGCCTTCGCCAAGGACTCACCCGAGAAGAAGCAGAAGCGGCTCGAGGATGCCATGGCTGGCTTGAAGACCGGTTCCACGATGGGAACCACCGAAGTCACTTCGGACATAACCCATCAGACCGTAATCGTTCCCGCGAACCAACAGGGGTTTACCATTCGCCTGCCCGGCGCCACGGCTCTACCGCCTACCCCGGCCACTTCTCACGCCCCCATGACGACCGGCGAGAAAATGGCTGAACTGGACGACTTCTTCTCCGAGGAGAACGACCACCGGTACAAGACTACTCGCACCCAAACAGGCTCGACTTACAGCTCGGACTACGGCGATGGAGCAGGCACCAGCGTCCAGGATCAAGTTCATGAACAGCCCTGGAACGATGCCAACTACGACGAAGAGGCCCTCTCGTACGGCTACGCCTACAAGCAGACCAACTACCATACCCTGCCACACTCCGTGAACCCCGTTCCTCTCACTCATGAACAGCGCCACCAGGTCCTCAAGAGCTACGGCATACCCGATGAGCAGTACTCCGCCCCTCCGACCGGTTATCCCAACCCTCCCGGTCCGGACAAGGGATCCAAAGCGCCTCCTTGCCCCATCCGTGCTGCACCTGTAGCACCCACGACTCTCAGTGCCGCCGGAGGCGGTGGCGATGGAGCAGACAGACGCGTCGAACGATCCAGCGCCGACGGCGGAGCTGCCGTCGAGAGTCTGCGCAAGCACCGTCGTTTCCGACGAGCTGCTACGGCCCCCCCTGCACCTGCTCCTGTCAGCCCTGCCCCTGGCTACGATGATGACTGGTTCTAAGAAACGAATGATGATTGACGAATGGCTACGAAACGGAACGCCGTCTCTTCTTGATGCCCAACGCTTGCCAGATATCGGTTTTGCCTCTGCAATGAACACGAAAACGAAAACAAAACACGCATCTTGTCGTCGAAGCACCCTCGCGAACGAAAAGTGGCATGATGAAATCTGTTTTCCTTTTGCTTCCAGCTCTCGGATGTCGATTTGCCGGCTTTAGGTCATCGGAAAGTTTTGCCAAAAGGTTTTTAAAAAAAAAAGAAAAAAAAAGTGTTGGATTTTAGGAAATGAAGACGTTTGGGATTTCTTCTCCTAAGTTTACTTGTCAGAGTACGGAGAGATGGAATACTTCTCTGGCCTGGCAGAGACTGCGCACCCTTCTCTTCTGCGACACTCCATTTCCTTTTTCAGAGTACGACTTGGATCTTTCCACCTTGGAAAGAACCCGGAATCGTCACAGCTATGATTGTCTTCACAGGCATAGCTCTTTTTCATATATGAGATACCCCGGTTGAGGACGAGGAACGGACATCGGACACACATTGGGACGCACAGAATGGACAAACAGGAAACGCCGGAACACAACCGCGCATGGCTTTTCAGATTGAATGCTAGCTAGCTAGGTAGTCATGAAGTCGATACAAGAGACTCTTTGCAATCATAAACTGGAGACCGATTCCCTCGACTTGAACTGTGATACAAGATGGAAAAGAGTTGATTGATACTGATCAGTACTGGTAGGCTTCAAAGCACGAATTTCGTGTTTCGGTATTGTGGTCAAAAGCCAACCGGCATTTAGAGTAAAGTCTTTCACCTTCACGAGATCATTTGTCAATTCATCCGTTACGCCACAGCAACCATGCAGAAAAGTATTGACTTGGACGGGCAACTCTTTTGACGATACGTTCAAATAATTAGGTGAGAACCAAGCTGCTCAGAATGATAGGCAGCATGGTATGCGCAACAAGTAAGTGCAGGGCGTTTGACGACTGTTACATAGAATAAGAAAATAACAATCTGGCTGGGCTAGAAGAAGAAGAAGAAGAAGAAAAGAAGAAAGACCTCCTAATGAGAACATGGTGCGTCGCTATGTGAACCATATTTCTCTCTCATATTCGCTTACATGATGTCGTGGCATTAATTATGTCATTCATTCACGTTCATCTGTAACCCCGACCCGGAAGTTCCGCCGGAGGCGGTCCTGGTAACTCAGCAGGCGCAGTCGGGTTCCTCCACGGCTCCGAACCGTGCATCTCGGACGGCCCCCATCCGGCATAGATCTTGGACTGCACCTGCGTGTCCGCCTGGTCCGCCTGATCCGCCTCGCTCAGGCCATAGGCGGGAGGCTCCGAAGACGACCGGCCCCACGGAAGGTGGCGACCTGTTCGCGTCTTCCGGTGTTCCTTGCTGTTCTTGTTGCGTCGGAGGAGGTAGACGGCCGCCACGACCGTGATGCAGATCATGGCCACGCCGCCGACGACGCCGCCGACTATGGCACCCGTGTTGCTTGGTGCATCGTCTGACGGCTCGTTTCCGACTGCTTCGCTCGCGGGCGAGGTCGCCCCGGCTGCTGGTGGAGCGGACTGTGTCAGTGACCGTGTCGGTGTTGAAGACGGTTCTGATACGGGATTCGGAATGATCGAGGGAGCGGGTGAGGATGTCGAGGCTACGGCTTCTGACGTGGGTTCAGAGGGCAACGCCCTGGATGAACTAGACGGCTCAGGGGTGACTGTGATGCTGGGAACGGCCGCGACTGTAGGCTCCTTGAACAGCGTTTCCACGGTAGCCTTTCCGCCGCAGGCAATGTACGAAAAGCCCCCTTCAAAGCTTCCGGCAAGAATCACAGTAGAGCAGAACTGCTCCTCGGCACTGCGGATAACCGGTTATCATGGCAACCCTACTTTCGCTCTGAGGGGAGGAGGCTTACCAAGTAAAAGTGGTGAGGCCTTTGATACCCGTCTTCCCGCAACCAAATCTACAGCTGTGGGAATCAACACAATTCCCGGCCAGCCCACAGTCGGTCGCAGCAAGCACGGTCGTGGGGCAGAACCCCCACAGGCCATGATCGATGTCTTCGCGGCAGCCATACCCCGGATCGGCTGTCCGTGACTTGGTTGGGTCGCCATCGTAATAGCCGCAAAGCGATGATGCTCGTGATGTGACTTGGCGTCGTCTAAGGTCTTCGCTCAAGGCGTCGGTGCTATTTCTTGACGGAGCATTCGTGGGCTTCGGGGGCGATACAGGGGCATATCTGAGGTTCATTGACCGGGGGGAGGCTTGGGCAACATGGCTATCGAGGGTGAACAGAAGAAGAAAGGAGAGAAGAGCCCGGGTCATTCTGGAGCACGGGTCCTCGGATAATCTGCGTGACCAGGGAACAAGAGGAGGTGACGAAGAAGATGCTGTGTTTGTTGGCCAAGCGATCCGTAATATGTTCTTTTGTCAAACAAAACGAGACGACAAGACAGCCAAGGCGTACTTTTGATATGTAGAAGCTGATCGAAGGGGTAGGTAGATTGGGTGATTATAGACGAAATGACAATACTCTGGCGCCCCGAACACAACGAGAGACGTCGAAAGGTCGCACGACAACTAGCAACGAAGACGAGAAGAAATTCGCAAAACAAAAACAGGCAGAGACAACAGAGATTGGGGCCAAAAGGTAGCAACGATGGGAGGACGACACAATCATGTATGTAATAACAAGCCAGCGACCCGAGGAAACCCAGTCGTCTGGTCAGCAGGTCGCCAGGACGCAGGCCCAACTTTGGACGACCTGACAAGAAGAGCCTTGTCGGCTCGGTTGTCCTGGTTTATCTCTGCGCTGTCATGGATTCTACTCCGGAGCGGCGCGGTGCTGCAACTCGGATTGGGCTCGTGAGCCCGGCGGCTGAGTTTCTGAGTGCTCTGACCCGACAGTCTGGTTGACCCCGGGCGACTTCATTTCCCTCGACGAATCATGTGGTGAGATGGTCGAGTCCCAGGCGCTTTCAGTTGTCAGACCCATGCTGTTGAAAGGAGGCAAACTCGGCGGTGAGCAGGCTGCCAGTAGGTACAGTACCGCGTGTACCTTTTGCTCTGGGCGAAGACGGGTGGAGAGGCATGTAGACGGGCTGCTCGAACCAGCATGATGGCGAAGACCAATAGAACAAGAAGGGGGGGGGGTCTTGTTGCGGGCCTATCTTGGCGTTGTGTGCCAACCACACGGCCAACTTTTCAGTCGCGCGGTTAAGCGCCCTGGCCCTTGACTTTTGACGACGGTAGGCGAGATCGCTATCCGTAGTATGCCGTTTGTTGCTGGTGGCCAACCTCTCCTAACCCTGGTCGCTGGGCTGGTCATCTTCTCCAGATTGGGGGGGAGGGCAAGGCGCTTCCACGCTTCCACCCTGTGTCTCTCCCCACCCCCATCACTGTACTGCTCAATTCAGATTTCATTTCTTTCTCCTTCTTCCCCTTCTCTCGTCACCCGTCGTCGTTGCCCTTTCCCGTGCACAATGATGATTATTGGACCCTCGTAAGGTTCTGATGGCTAGACGAAAACTCATCGTCGTTGCCCAGGCGATCGCAGTCTGCCTGCTGCTCGTCAGTCTGTTGGTCGCATACGACTTGTTCTCGGGACGCGACTACTTTGACGCGGCCTACAAACCATTCAGTATGTCCACCACCATTCGCAACACCTCCCCGTCCTCCGGTTGACCGGCAATGGGAAACTCTCGATCCACTAACACTTCGACCCAGGAAACTCTAAAACGACCGCAGAAGCGCACGGCGGTTCTCCACATGACGGAGCGGATCAGACGAACACCACCGTAGCATTGCCAGTGGTCACCCCATCGCAGACGCCACTCCCGGGCTCAACCCGGACGCCGACGCCGACGCCACCGCCAGTACCGCCGCCGCCCGGTGGCGGCGATGACACCGCCTCGGCATTGCCGGACGGTGACCCGGAACACCTCAAAAACGCGCCCAAGTACATCGCCGCGATCCTCGACCCGGACGATAAATCCATGCCCCGCCTCGACTGCCCCCGCCCAGATACCGCGCGCTACCAGTACCTCAAGCCCTCGTCCGCGCTGAAGAGGAAGCCCAAGTACTTCATCGCCCTGAACATCCGCCAAAAGGTCGAACTCCTCCCGCGCCTCATGGGCTCCATCGTCGAGGCCCTTCGCTTCCTCGGCCCGGAGAACTGCGTGCTCTCCGTCGTCGAGGGCAACTCGCGTGACGGCACCTACGAGGTCCTCCACCTCCTCCGCCCGGAGCTCGAGCGGCTCGGCACCGAGTACCACTTCTCCCGCAGCGACCTCGACCCGGGCGCCGGCGACCGCATCCCCAAGCTCGCCGAGCTGCGCAACATGGCCCTCGCGCCCCTCGTCGCCGACCCCGCGCGCTACGCCGCCGACGCCGTCGTCCTCTTCCTCAACGACGTCGCCGCCTGCCTCGAGGACATCCTCGAGCTCGCCCATCAGCGCCTGTACCTCGGGGCCGACATGACGTGCGCATTCGACTGGACCTACGTCGGCCAGGACCCGACCTTTTACGACGTCTGGATCAGCCGCACCATCGCCGGCGACTCCTTCTTCGAGATCCCCCCCGACGGCAACTGGAACTCGGCCTGGAACATCTTTTGGAACGAGCAGACGTCGCGCCGGCGCCTCGCCAGCCACAAGCCGCTGCAGGTCTTCTCGTGCTGGAACGGCGCCGTCGCCATCACGGCCCGGCCGCTGCTGGACCGCCTCGTGCGGTTCCGCGCACCCGGGCCGGGGGAGTGCTTCCAGGGGGAGCCCCAGCTGTTCTGCAAGGACATGTGGAACGCCGGCTTCGGCAAGATCGCCGTGGTGCCGAGCGTCAACTTGGAATACAGTGACGAGGCCGGCCGCAAGATCAAGGCCGCCAAGGGCTACACCAGCCAGTGGGTCGGGGACGAGGACAAGGACGACGACTTCAAGGTCGATTGGAAGGCTGATCCGCCTGAGAAGGTCAAGTGCATGGCCAGCTACGACAAGCAGACGTGGGAGCCCTGGAACCAGGGGCTGGAATAGTTCCCGCGAACTGCATGGTCGGTCTCATGGATGATAACGAGATCTAGTATCAAAACATTTATTTCTTTTTTCCCTGAGAACAGAAACCTAGCTAACTTGGCAAGTCTACACTTCGCCATCTATAACTGCAACCACAGACTTTTACCTGTTACATAACCTTCAGGGGTAAATATATATACTATTAGGTTGTCCCTATTTAGGCAGGGAAATGTATCCTAAATTTGATGCTTATATAGTAACATTATCTACTTTGGCCTATTAACCTATTATGTCCTTGGCCAATAACTTTTTGTATACGCTTTTAAGAGTGGCGGAGAGGGCTAGACAAGAGAGGTGCCATTTATAAAGGCATCCAACCTAAGTCCGGGTATATCTTAACGTGGGTATCTGTCGTGATGGTAACCTGGCGGGCTTTGACTTTTCCGGCCATGCCCTGATAAATCCTGCAAATATGGCGTAGTTCTCCGCGTTGGTAATCTTAAGCTCGTCGGAGATTCCCACACAACTATGTGCAGTCGTTAGCATTGTATGCCTGCCATAAGAAAAACGCACGTGTACTCGACGTACCATCTAGGAGAGTAGCAGCCCTTTGGCCTTCCATTTGCGCTTTTCCCTCTGGCGGGATCTGGTACGTCAACGCAGACGTTATTTAGTCCCGTAACCTTGGGCATGTGTTGAAACTCGTGAACAAGCGTCAGGCCTGCGTTCCTCGTTGGCATAACCTTTCCCGCCACTTTCCAATCCACCGCCACCGATTCGATGGTACTTTTGCTTGCGAAGAACCCCGGGCACAGGATTACCAAGGTAGGACCACGCCATGGTGTGCCCGGAAACTGGCTTCGGGCCGCAGCGAGAGAAGTCGGGTCGCAGTACTTATCCCCAGGGGGAGGGCAGGAGTAGACGAGAGAGTTCTCAGTGACGCCGTTCCCTTTCTGCTTCGATATCTTGGGGAACTGCCAATCTTTCATAATGAGTTGTGCTGGAAAAGTCGGACGAATCAAATTTCTTTGTGCCGATTGGAAGTGGTTGTTGATGATTGACGTCTTCATCTCGGGCGCAGCATTGCCTATTGACTTTGTGTCAGTGATCAAGTGGGTGTTAATTTGCGGTACGCTTTTTCCAAGGTACTTACTTTGCCCGAACCAAGTACGGAAGGCGTACGAGTCCTCAGACCCTTGTGCCGACAAGGCAGACACTGCCAACTGAGTGACAGCTCGAGCATCGTCGATTGCTTTGTTCAGTTGCTTGACTTGTTGCTTGGTGCATTTCCAATCTCCTCGATCAACCCAAAAGACAGAGTCGAACACAAATGAATTAACAGAAGGGTCTCGTTCCTCCAAGTCGGCACTGACATGCCACGCAGCCAAAAGAGACGCCAAAAGACCAAGAAACCGCATGGTGGCAATCACGCCACACACGCAAGACGAAAGTAAATTTAAGGAAAGTGTAACCCCGGATAGAGAATGAAGGTCTACTCTATGAGGAGAATAATATCTGGATAAACAGAAGCCGCTTGAGATATAGGGAACAACTTCTTTAACTGTCACATGGTTGTCTTTGTTGGCATCATCTCTAGATTGATCCATGTCTTTACCCCATACTCCGTAACGAGTCAGGATATCGGCAGCACCGGTAAAGGTTATGCAGGTGGGGCTGCTTCCTCCTCACTCATTAAGATCGGCCTTTACTCCGTACACATTAAGGGTTTATCTAAGTCTGACAAGCCCCACAGCTTGTCCAGGCCTGCAAGGTGTTCCCGCGTCCTTTACGTGGAAATGGGCATTATCTCGCCTTCGGCCGACACCGAGTACCTCTGGCCGTCTCTGTGCATCAACTCGATGACTGCACCGATGATGGCGTACAAATCCGGGTTTTCGCGATTCTTGTTTTTGACATTGTTTGCCCATCCATATGCACCCTCGTTAGCATCAAGCATTTCCCCAAAGTATGTGAGGTGGAAGAACTAATTCAAGCTGTCAGAATCCCGATTCGAACCACAGAGAGAGAGAGAGAGAGAGAGAGAGAGAGAGAGAGAGAGAGAGGGAGAAGCGTGACTCTGGTAGCAGGTAAAATACCAGTGCGATATGGTACGCGGCCAGTGTCTAATCCGATCTAGAAGTACTGCCAGATAGGAGCTAGAAAATACGTAGGGTGAGGTTAGAGTTAGGATTTGGGTTAGTTAGAGTTAGGGTGATGGAATCTGGTATTAGGGTTAAATGGTGGTGGTAGTGGTGGTAGTGCCTTCCGAAATAGGTTTAACTCACTGGCCGTGTGCTATATCGCACTGGCATTTTGCCTGCTACTTGAAATCTTCGAGCGCATTAAACTCTGTTACTTGTTGTTCGAAATCATCCTCGGGTCCACCCGCCAAAGTTCCTGGACCGTTGGAAGTTGATGGTTTCCGGGACTCTCTTGCGGCCACCCGCTGGGAGGGAGTCCATCCTTCTCTTTGAAATCCCTCTGCGTGAGCGCCATGGTGCGTGGAGTCGGGACCTTTTCCCAGTCGCCGCCGAATTTGTCAGACTCTTCTTGTTCAATGAACTTTTGGAGCTCGTGGGGCGTAAAGAGATGCTTCTTCCGCACCACATCGTACGGTACGTCGGAGGGCCCATTCGCCGGGTGCTCGACCATGGGGATTCCTGGCCGGCAAATGATGACCTGAGGCCTACCGTGAGCTGGGCGCTCGCTCGTGCGGGTAATGTGGCTCTGAGTGGAACGGGACTTACAAAGTCGTTAAAGTGGTCATCTCTATTTTCGAGATCGATCCAAGCTTGGGACTTATAGTACACTAAGTCAAAGCACCCACTTATGGCTGGCCCCCCCCCTGCATTTGGCCCACCTAAAAAACGATGCCATCACAACACCACTACTTTATTTAATTAACTATTAACAACCTCTGAATGCTATAATAATACAGCTTTTGGCCTCACTAGGTGTCAAATGTGGCGAAAGTACACGTGAATTCACCGGCGAATGCACGGTTGCCCTATGGCGAATCGCCGGGGAATGGGCGGTGAAATCGCCCCACTTTAATGGTGATTTCACCGATAAGATCGCCAGGATTGGCCCGGGATTTCCCAACCAAGAAATAGGGGGATTTCACCATGAATAGTGACACACACATAACAAGATCAATCAATCAACCATTACAATCCCTATGATTTGACATAATTACTGTGCTCTAATCTGCCCTACCCCGCATAGGGGGTTAATGAGGTCTGTTTGCACTTGATGGGATAGATTTCACTATAGCTACAAATTATTAATCAAGCAATACACAACTATTATAATCCCTATGATTTTATAATTTTAACTAGAGGTTAGTTTCGTAGACATTAAACCTTAAAAAGCCACAATAGTTTGAGGATTCGGCTTATTGTTCCCTTCAGCGTCCGACCAGAGCACGTTCTCGAAACCAACAGCCTTCAGCGTCGACTCCCACAAGTGCTCATCAGCCAAGCAATGCGTACGCCCGTCGTCAAAGCGCCACCACCCCTCAAGCAGCCCAAAAACCAGATCCAACCACGACAGCCTCGTCGTGAACTCGACAAGAACCACAAAGCCCCCGGGACAGAGCAGCTTGCGGATGTTGCCACAGGACTCCGCGAGGCTCCTGGTGGCGTGGACGCAGTTGGACGACAGCACGGCGTGGAACCGCCCGCACAGCTTCTCGGGGGGCGTCTTCTCAATGTCCAGCGGCACGAACTCGACGCTGCCCGGGGGCAGGTGGGCGTACCTCTTCTTCGCCTCGGCCAGGAAGGAGGACGAGATGTCCGTGTACGTGTACGTGAAGGGGACCGCGTTCTCGACGAGCTTGTCGAGCACGTACTTTGTCGTACCGCCGAGGCCGGCGCCGACCTCGAGGATCTCGACGCGGGACGCAACACCCGCGAACGCGCGCCCGATCATCTCGCAGGCGAACTTGGACGCGGCCACGAACATGGGCGCGTTGGTGTAGAACTCCTGCAGCAGGCCGCGGCTCTTGCCGAAGATGAGGCTGAGCGGCTCCATCGCCCCCGTGAGGCAGTCGGCCAGCTTGGAGCCCGCGACTTGGAGGAGTTCGTGCTCGCTGTTGTGGAGGGGGTGGTCTCGGATGAGCTGGTTGTAGATCGCCCACGAGGGTGTCTTGTCGACGGGCTGGTAGGTTCGGAGGAACCTGCCGTGCTGGGACTTGACCAGACCGCCGTCTTGGAGGATTTTGTAGATGATCTGGAGCAGATTTTGGTGCTTGGGGAGAGTGTTGCTGATTTCCAGAGCCTCTCCGGGCGCCAGCGCGTCTAGGTTGCAGCCCATCCGGGCCAGTGATTCGGTGACGAAGGCGAGGACCAACTGTTGCTGGGTAGGGAACACCTCGTCCCAGAACCCGGAGCATCCTGCCTCGTCGGAGAAGCCGAGGACGAGATCAGTGGAGTTCTTGAACGTGTCTCGAATCCTTTGAAGCGCTGCGGGGGACTCGGCAACTTGCGTTAGTTGCCGAGCTTTGTCCAGCGTCGATACCATTTTCTTGGCCAACTTCTGCACCAGAGGTCCCGTTTCGTTGGTGATCTGAGTGCCGTTGGTGTTAGTCAACCATTTTACAAGATTGGTGCGGAAGTCTCGGAGGGGTTCTTACCCTTGGACGCATCATGATGGAGAAATGGTCACCATCGACGACAAACGTCTCGACATCCCCAACCAACCTATCCCAACCTCTAGGACCAAACGAACTACGCTCCACGGTCAACCACTCCATCCAGTCCGGGTTAGCCTCCTTCTGTAGGCCGCTCTTGGCCGTCAGGATCTTGTCCGCCTCGATGACCTTGTCAGACAGCTTGTCGAAGAACCCGTTCCGGGCCCAGATGATGAACGTGTGCACCGGCCTGGCATGCGCCGGGAGGGGCACCGGGTCGTAGTTCATGACGCACTTGACGCAGCCCGCGACGTACGTCTTCTGCTCGAGCGTCAGGGGCCTCCGCTTGTCCGTCTCGGAAATGCTGTCGAAGATGCCCGTCATCTCGCAGACCTCGACGGTCACGTCCGGGATGCCCTGCAGCTTCTTCGGACACGCGGCGTCGAAGACGAGGAAGCTGTGGATCTGCTCGCCGCCCTCAACGAGCTGGCGCAGGGTCTCGTAGGCGAACATGCCGCCCACGGAGAAGCCGCCGATCATGTAGGGCCCGTGGGGCTGCACGGAGCGGATGGCGCGCGCGTAGATGGACCCGATCTGCTCCATGCTGCCCGTGAACTCAGACGCTCTGCCCAGAAAAGGCGCTTCAAGCGCGTAGACTGTCAGGTTCGGAGCTAGCTTGGGGAGGTGGAGGTAGACCGCTGCCGAACCGGAGCCGTCTGTGATGAGGAACAGGCGTTGTTGGCTCTGCGGGTGGCCCTGGAGGAGGACGACGTTGCTGTGGTACTCTTCAGGGTTAAAAGGCATCACCGGCGGAAGGACCACTTGAGGAAGAAGTTCCTCTGACGGATAAAGGGTGGAGTCGTCTAGCGAGAGTGAGCCTTTGCAGATGGTGACGGGGGAATTCGAGGGATATCACGGACCTTGGGAGTTGTCACTGGCAATAGTGCGGACCACTTGCGATACGGTCGCGCAGTCCGCGAGAAGAGAAGCCGGGAGCTCGGTTCCAGTCTGCTCCTTCACGGCTCCGATGATGGCAATGCTCATGAGAGAGTCGACGCCGATATCAGCGAGAGAGGTGTCCATGCCAATCTCGCTCGGATCGAGCCCGCTCTCCTTGGCGATGACAGAAAGAAGAATGTCCTTCATGTCGACACCCTCGAGGCCTGGGATGCCAGATATCGGGGAATCGGCGACTGGCAAAGTCGGCGGAGTCGAGATAGCGGACGATGGCGAATCCTGGGTAGAGGCGCCGCTCTCGTCGGTGGGCTCGTCAACGATATCCGCCGTCGAATCGTCAAAGTAGGCAATGAGCTCTGCTATCGTGGTCGGGCCGGCGATGAGGGTCGCCGGCAGTTCGATGTTCTGCTCCGACTTCAGTCTGGAGGTGATGGCGACCGTGAGGAGGGAGTCGACGCCCAAGTCCTCCAGTGTGGTGTGGTTCTCCACGTCCTCCAGCTGAGTCCCGACCTCGGCACTGATAACCTTCAGTACGGCGGAGAGTTGCTCGTGGTCCGGAGTTTCGCGACGGGAGACCTTTGCGGTTGGCTTATCGGTGGAGTTACTGGTCACTCGGGGCTGCTTGACTTCCTTCTCGACGGCAATCTTCTGCTCTGGCGGGGCAGCCTTGTTCTTGACCGGATCGGGTTGTGTTGCCGAAGGCAAGCCAAGCAGTTGGCGGAGGCGGGCTTTCTTCACCCGCTTGAACTTGAGACCCTCTCCGATGGCAACGGCACTGGTCTCGTCGAAGACGGTCGTTTCACAGACCACACTGCTGCCATTGTCCGAAATCTCCGCGCGGACGTAACAGAGGTACTGCCTCCCGCCTGTCAGCTCGTTGCTGAGCTTCAAGGCATCGCAACCGGTAGACATGTAAACCACGTCTGCCGGATTGGACGCATTGGAGTTGAGCAGGAAGCCAGCGGTTTGGGCGATGCTGTCCAGCCAGCAGGGGTCGTAGGTGAAAGATGACCCGGCCGGAGTCTCGCGCAGATCCAGTTTGAATGCAGCCTCGGTAAAAGACTGGTCGATGAACACCTCGTTGATGGACCAGTATTCGCTCGAGTAGTCCGTGATGGGAGAGAAGATCTTGTACACCATCTGCTTGAACAGCCGGTACACGGGACGTTGAGATGCGGGCTGCAAGAGCTCGGCGGATCTCGGCGCGACTAGGGCTCGTCGAGCTTTCCATTCGTCCTTCTGCGTCTGGTGGGGAGGTGCAATGACAAGCTCGCAGCGCGAGTGGTCCTTGTCCGAGCCGACGGTGACGACGAAGGTGTTGGACCCTGTCTTGGTGGTTGCGCGGACCGTGACGATCTGCGGGCTCGTCGACTGTGCCAGGAAAAGGGGCGAGAAGATGTCGAGTTTCTGCAAAACCATCTGCGCATCTGAACCACCTGGGCTCATCCGACCGTGCAGATAACGGGCTGCGCTCCAAGCCATCTCTTGATAAACGCCGCTGGGCGTGAGTGCGATGCCGACGACGTTGTGACCATCGATCAACTTGCGCAAAGTCGGCTCCTGGAGGTCGACCGAAAACTCGACCGTGCCGTTGTCCTTTGCGATGTCTTCGGACTCGAGACGGTGCAAGCAAGTGCCCAAGGACGCCTGTCCGGGACTCTGGGAACCCTGCAAGGACTTTGCCTTCATGTCTCTTTCGAGGGCTGCAACGCCACCGCGGTACTGGATCCAGAAGTCCTTGAGGTCGAAATGGTATGTCGGGAGGTCCAAGACGGACAAGCTGGGCTTGTAAGGACGGTGGAACTCTGCCCAGTCCACGGAGACGCCACTCGTGTAAGCTTCCGCGACAATTTGAGAAAGAGCCTCCCAAGTAGAGCTCGCGGATTGCAACGCCGGGAGAAGCTTGCAGGGGGCAGCGAGTGTGGACTTTGCCATTGAAAGACACATAGCGCCGGGCCCGGCCTCCACAATCAGGGTGTTGTTGGTGATGTATCCAGCATCACGAGCCGCCGTGATCGCCGTTTCAAAACGGACCGGTTTGCGAGTCTGCTCGGCCAGATAAGAGGCCGAGAAGACACCCTCCTTGTCGACCACCCGCCCAAGAAGAGTCGAGACCACCGGAATGGATGGTTTACAGAACTGGGCAGACTTGGCCACGGTCTGGTAGGCGTCGAGCATGGGGTCGAGCTGGGTTGAATGGAATGCGTAAGGAGTCGATAAGTAGGTCGACTTGATCGAATTGCCTTCTCTCAGCGTCGTGCGGAAGCGTTCCAAGGCCTCCATTTTACCGTTGACAACAACCGACACGGGGCTGTTGAAGCAGGCGATGGCGATGCCCGCCCCGGGGGTCTCGTCGATGAGAGTCTGGATCTTCTGCGCAGGTGCACTAATCGCCAACATACCATGGGTGTCTTTCACACACAGCTTCTCGACCAACTGAGCCCGCCGACCGACGAGGAGAAGAGTATCGGCGACCGTCAGCACACCTGCTGTACAGAGGGCCGCATACTCCCCCAAGCTGTGGCCGAGTACGGCGTTGGGAACAATGCCCCACGACTTGAGAAGCTGAGCGATTGCAATCTCCAGAGCCACGATGGCGAGATGTGTGCGCGTTGGGCTGGCTCCGTTCGACTGTTCTCTGAGAATGAGATCGATGAACGGCGGCAGGCCCAGGGTCTTGGCGATGTTGTTGAGTTCCAAGATCGACTGCTGCAACTGCGGGCATGAACCATAAAGATTCTTCGCAAGGCCGAAGAACTTGACCCCTTGTCCCGGAAAGACGAACACAATGGAGCCCTGGCCGACGCTGTTGACGACGTCGGTGGTCCTGCCAAGGTCTGAGGAAAGTGCCTTGATGAGGCCTTGTACACTCGATGCGCAGAAGGACGAGCGCAGAGGCTGATGGGACCTCCGTGCGGTCAGAGTGTAGGCGATGTTCTCGAGTCCCAAGTTCGGATACCTGACAAGGTAGTCGAGGAGCCGTTGTTTGTTGCCTCTGAGCGAAGATCGGGTCTTTGCCGAAACTGTAACAACTTGGAGGTTGCGAGGATCCTTGCCGATGATAGACCTTCGAGGCGGCTCTTCGATAACCATGCAAGTATTGCCACCCTGTGCGTAGCTATTAGTGCCACATTCAATAACACAAAGATAGATAAAACCCAAAACTTACAGTCGCGCCGAAGTTGCCAATCATGATTCTTCTTGGTTCTTTGTCGGTCATGAAAGGTTTCAATTCGCGAGCAATGTGAATGTTAGCTTTCTCCAGCGGGGGGAATTTGCTGTTGATTCTGGTTTTGATCCCAGCGTGAGGAGGTATGGCATTCTCCCGGAACATCATCAGTGCCTTGATAACAGAAGTAACGCCAGCTGCCTAGAAAGCAGAGGTTAGCACGCTTTGAACTCATGGAAAGGGTTCGAGATATACGTACTGCTTCGCCATGACCGACATTGGCTTTGATGCCGCCAACGTAGAGAGGGTTCGTAGGTTCGCGACCGGATGCAAACGTTGACACGACCGAGTTCATCTCGGTAACGTCCCCAGCCTGGGTTCCGGTTCCATGCATCTCGACGTATTGGATTTGGTCGGGTGTCAGATTGGCTTTACGCAAAACCTGCTTGTATAGTTTCTTCTGAGTCGGGCCGTGAGGCTGCGTGATGGACAGGGCGTTCGCCGAGTGGTTCGTCGCGATACCCCTGATGACGCCCTGGATGTTGTCTCCCGCTTGGATCGCATCCTCCAAACGCTTGAGAACAATAATGCCAACACCCTCCCCGCGACAGTAGCCATCGGCGGTCTCGTCGAAAGTCTTGCAGGAGCCCGTAGGGGAGACGAAGCCAGCTCGACTGAGGCCTGCCCAGAGATTCGGACCGGTCATGACGTTGGCTCCACCAGCCAAAGCCATGTCGCAGTCACGACCAAGGAGCGAAGCGCAGGCCAGCTCAATGGATGCCGCGCTGGAAGAACAAGCGGTGTCGAGGACATACGAAGGCCCCTCGAGCTTGAAGAAGTAGTTCAATCTTCCCGAGCCAAACGAACGAAGACCACCTGTGACAAAATACATGTCGATTTCCTGGCTGATGTTGTACTCTCGCCAGTCATCCGTCGTAAGCCCTACGAAGGACCCGACGTTGCCTCGATCCGGCTTGGCGTCGTATCTGTAGCCGGCTGTCTCGAGTGCTTCGTACGCTGCCATCAGCAGCAGCCGCTGGCATGGATCCGTCTGAGCAGCTTCGCGGGGAGACATGTTGAACATGAGGTTGTCGAAGTGACCTGGTTTGTCCAAGAAGCACCCGAAAGCAGAGAGGGTGGAGTTCGGGGTCTTGCCGGTTGGATCGCAGTGAAGGTCAACGTCGAAGCGATCTTTGGGCACCTGTGCAATGGAAGCAGAAGCCGTCAATACATGGTACTCGGAGGTGCAACGGAAAGCTCGACGTCTTTCTCACCTTTTTGTGGAGGTCTTTCCCTTGCACAAGAATATCCCAGAAGGCCTGGAGGTTGTCACCACCAGGAAATCTACCAGACATGCCAACAATGGCAATGGCATCCTGGGGTTCACCAGTCTCGGCAATCTCAGATAATTGGACCTTCGCATCTTTGAATCCGGACACAGCGAGGCACTTCTCCAGGAAGCCTCCCGCGTTAGAAGGGCCGAACACGTGAACCGAAAGCTTCGAGCCCGACGAACGATGAAGAGCTGAATCGAGGGTTTTTGACGGGAAGAGCTTTTCCTGGAAGATGTCATGAAGAGCTTGTCGCAGGAACTCGTACAGAGTCTCGCCGTCGTAGGCCGATCCGGTGGTCGGCGAGAAGAGCGTAGTCCCTTGAGGAATCCTGGTAGTGAACATAGGTGAAGTACCGATTATTGCGCCAACATCTGGAGCGGCGAGATGGGACGCATGGAAGGCGGTATATATGGGAAGGGATGTGCTCCGTACACCGTACATTGCCGTGGAGGACAGGAAGGACTGCAAGACAGACGGAGGTCCGCTGAGAGTCAACGTGGATCGCGATTCCGAACTGACGTAAATGTGCCTGTGGGCGAAGGTTGACTATGCAGTCACGTTAGAGATGTGCTCATTCAATGACGAGGGAAACTTGCTTGGTTCTGATGGAAAGCATCTATCTTTGAGCGTAGCTGTGTGGCGTCTTGCCCAAGGACGACCACTGACCAAACTCCGGATGTGGCTTCTATAGCCACGGAGCGACGGTACGCATGAAGTCCAAGCCTGATCGAAAGCAACACAATCTCTTGAGAAAGCCTTGTGGCATCGGCCAGGCTAGTCGAAGCTGCAGCAACTGTGGCGGGCAAAAGTCCCGTACAGAAGCCAACCAAGTGTCGTGCTGGACCTGGGCCATCGCTGCTAGATTGGAGGAGGCTTGGGGTCTTCTCAGCGCGGCTGGGAGCGCAAAAGGCTTTAGCAGTTTCCTCTACAAACCAGTTGTCTGAATCAACCACTTACTGAATGAGATCGCCGAGCTGTGCTATGCAGACCAGGACCGGTGACAAGATTGCTTGCGCAGCCGGATCGCTTCGGGCCTCTGCGAGCTCCGCGACGGTGTGAAATTCTGGTATCAACTTCCTGACACCTTCCTCGAGGGTCGACACACGTGTCCGGAGGTTGTTGCCTGCGTCGAGGAGGAACTTCTGAAGATTCCGCGAGGATTTCGCTTTCTGGGAAAGGTCGCGCAGGAAGGGACCAGTTTCGACAGTCTGGTCACCAAAAAAAAGGAGTTGATCCGACGCCATGCTGTATGATGCGCCTAAGGCAGCAAAGGTCAAAAGGTATCAATGTAGGTATTGTTCAACCAACTTTCTGGTTTGATGGGAGATATTTCGTATCAATATAGTCAGAGACACTCGAGACATGGACAACATCAATATTAACATAGCCTAAAGCGATAACAACATCGGATGAACACGACGCCTGTCATCGATCCTTGCAAGACGACCAGACACGCGGTATCAGGCGAACCGAACACCTGGTTGCACAGAGGAACCCCTAAGACTCGGTGGCTTGGCACCGCCAACGGTTCTTGGCCTTTCAAGTCGCCGATGCATCTTCGGAGCCTTCCGTGCTTCTGACACAGTCAGACATCAGCATTCGTGTTGTCTCGGACCCTCACGCCGTCAAGAGGCAGCCATATTGACAGCCCCGCTTACGGGCCAGTTTAACAATCTTCATTCTGGCCGGCGCTCTCTAAACTAGTCTGAACAAGCTCTGTCCCCGGGGACTACGCTTCATGATTGGTTGTACTCTACATACACCATGTGTTTATGTTCCCCTACGCTCTAGTTTCCCGATTAGTCTCCATGCCGATTCCTGCAAGACTTCGATATTCAAGCGATCCAAGTCCCCCTCGTCACCAATCAGCTCCGTCTGATTCAGGACCTTTAGTAACTTTTGGACAAGCAATGAAACCAGTTGGGTCCGCAGGAATGGAACATCTTCCTGGTCAATCGCATGACTTTCGATTCCTGTCTCCCAGCCTTGGCGGAAGTCCCCAGAAGTATTGTCAACCCGCGTGTGATACGTAGGCTCACACCAACTCCACCACGCTTCATCGCACATGGATAATATTACTTGGGCGAGCAGAAGAAACCGGGAAGCCAGCTGGCTCCCGTGGGTTTCGTTGCAGGCCACAATCCGTCGAACACCACCCAAAGCGCTCTTATTCCAATCCATTATCTGCTCAAATGAGGCTGAAGTGGCCTGCGGATTATGTGTGCTGGCCAGCGGTCTGGCGGCAAGTATTTCCCCCAGCACCTCGTCGCATGGGCAACTGCGAGGACTAGGATAGTGATTCGGTTGGAGTCGTTCCAGGCTGTTGGCCTCCGTAAGGCCGTATTCTTGCTCTTGACAGTCAAGAGCATGTTTCCTCGAATTATCATATCTCAAGTCCGAAGCATGGGAGCTACTCTGACTTGGTGTCAAGGTGCCCAGGAAGTAATTCTCTCCCGACGCAACGCCACCTCCGGAACTCTGCCTGATCAGGTGTGTCAATATCTAAGGAAAACCGCCATCTCTCGTCCGAGGGCTTCGTCAAACTCGCGGAGACTTACTCGGAATCGGCGAACAGGAGCGACGAAAGTTCGACCGGACAGTCCAGGATAGTCGCATCATGCATTCCCTCGGGTCTTTCCCGATCCAGCTGCAGTCGCGGTTTGTGTTTCGAGCCCCTAGCGCGGCCCATTGGCATCGGCCGGCTGCGCTTGCACACGATGTTCCTTTGCTGGCATCGGCGGCAAACCAAGGCTCCGCCAAAGTCACACCTCACTTTGTCTTGGTGGCAACGATCGCATGATGCCCGAACGGGCCCGGTAGTCTGGTTTGAGGCCCCAACCATCGGAAGTGGAAATCGGCGTCGGTGCCTGTGGTGAGAGGCGAGAGTCGGGTGTGTATTATTACGATAGCTACTGATCACTGTAGGATCGTTGGGGGCACACCACACATGAAATTGGGACACATATCAGTAATTAACGGCGAGACACATCGCAACCAAGACTCCGCTGCCGACGTGGGAGTTCCAGACTCTCGACAGGACGTCAGCATTGGCAACGCTAATTCGGGTTTGAATGGTCTGATAGACTGTTTAGTGACTTTGATTTCGCTGCGGTCAGGGTTCACTCAGCCAATGCAACCTCCCACCTGTTTCCGTGATCCATCAAGTTTGTCTAGCCTCCAGGGGTGCCGTGACCTAGCGCCCGCATCGCCACCAAGCCGGCCCAGATAGCTATCTGTGGTAACTCGCTACTCTCGTATGCAGCTCGGATACACCGTCCCATCGTAAAGTGCAAGCGATCCAACCATGAGCTTCAACTGGTTCCAGAACGGCCGAACTAATGGCGACGTATCCACTCCGGTCAACAACTTGAGTCGGACAACCTCGCCTTTCAATGGCCGACGACGAAACGTGCCCAGCATCGCGCAGGGTGATGTGGATGCGTGGGAACGAAGTGAACGAAGAGACGGACCCCCCCCCACATCATCGCAAGTCCGCAACGGCTGCCGATTTGCTTGATTGCGCGCGTTGAAGCCGCTACTTACTGTAGCCTGTCGGCCCTAGTCGAGGTACGATCCTGTCCAACCCATGTCATTTGATGGTTTGATCGAGTTTTAGGTTACGCCTCTTTGCACAACGCTTCAAAGTCATAAAGTCTTACTGAGGTTCAGGGAAGGGAGTCACATCACATGTAGACATCTGATGACCACAGGAGAGGAGTCCGCTACCGCCAATCCGAGTCAATTAGCTCATCTACGGCATTTGTTTCTGATGTCAGAGTCTCATTTGGTCCATCATTCTGCAGAAATCTCAAGACTACCAGCCAAGGAACAACACATGGCGATTAAGCTCATTCGACGAGCATCGTGTGCATAGTTGTGGTTGTCGACTTACCGCATGCTTTGCCGACGTCATTCCTTGGCGTAATCCTGAAGGATTCGCTTGGCGCTGCAACTACGGGCCGCCTTTCCCCCTCACCGGGACATAGGACGATAGCTACTACTACGACCACCCTCCAGAGTCTGCCGTCACGGTGTGTGGGCTACTATGTCCCTGATAAGGCTTAGATCAGATGGGTTCCCGGTTCCCAGAAAGCCGCCGAGGAGGCATTTCAACGGAGCGCATGTGCCTGCCGCATCCGCCTAAATGTGGTGTGTGGCACCTCGTAGAGCCCAAAACGGACCAATGTACGGATAACATCAAGACAAGTCGCCGAAGACTAGTGGGTTGTGTAGGCCAGGACCCTGGTCCCCGACGATTCTTCGGCTTACTTAAGCGACAATATGCATCTGTCCTCTATATGTGACGTGAGAATCACTTGGCATCGACGTTTGTGGCCAGAACCAATGTCGTGAGGTCAGCTTGAACCATTGGAATCCAAGGCTATACTTGAGTGCGCAGGTGTACAAAGGGAGCACCGACGAAAGGGCAGCTTCATCTATTATCACGTCACTTCCTTGCAGTTTCTGTACGTAGAGATCATTGGATTTATTTACTACGATCGTTTCGGGTGCAATAATTTGCTCTTGAAATCAGAATCAAACGAGAATGGCCTCCCCCACGACCATTTCTCGGCTCGCTGAGTCCATCTTCAGCAACACCAAGATTGTGGACTCCTACCTTAAAGCCAATGATCTCCCGAGCCCGTCTTTCGACGCTGACGGACCGACAAACTTGAAAATCGACGCAGAATCAGCCGAGAATGCTCGTGTCAAGGTGTTAGAGTCCACTTTGGAGTTGTTTGATCTCTTACAAGGCCCTGCAGCCATTCTTCGACCTGTTGTAAGTCAAGAGGCCGACGAGCTTTCATCTCCCTTGACCCGTGGCTGACTAGTCAATCCCCACACTCAGGCGTATGGCACTAGTTTGCAGGCCATCTCGAGATGGGATATCCCAAACAAGGTCCCGCTTGACAAGGAAATAAGCTTCACCGAGCTGGCCCATCTCTGCGATGTTCATGAGACGGACATCCGTCGTATCCTTCGCTATGCCATGGTCTATCACCGTCTTTTCTGTGAGCCTCGGCCGGGCTTCGTCGCGCACTCTCTCGCTTCCAAGAGACTGGTCCAGGAACCTTCCATGGCGGACGGGCTCTGGCTGCTCGGCGATCATGTCTTCGGCACGGCCGCGAGGACCGTCGATGCTCTCGAAAAGTTCAAAGATCAAGAGCCCAGCCACACGGCAATGGCCATATTGAAGGGTAAAGAGCAAAGCGGATACGACGCGATGAAGGAGGACCCCCAGTTTGCGAGGAAGTTCGCCAAGGCGATGATGTCTTTTGCGAACCGTTCCGAGAGTGCCCCGCGAGTGAGCCTCGTGTACCCGGAGCTGTGGGCTTCGCTGGGCAAAGGCACCGTCGTTGATGTGGGTGGCTCGCGGGGTGCTGATGCCATACACTTGGCGAGCAAGTATCCCGATCTCAACTTCATCGTCCAGGACTTGCCCCCGATGATAGCCGGGGCGGAAGCTGCCGTTCCGGCCGAGCTGAAGGGTCGGATCAGGTTTATGCCGTACGACTTCTTCACGCCACAGACCCAGGCGGCGGACGCGTACATGATCAAACAGTGTTTCCACAACTGGCCGGATCACTACTGCGTTCGCATCATCAGGAACCAAATTCCGTTGATGAAGCCTGGTTGTCGACTCATCGTCATTGACAGCCTGGTCCCTGAGCCGGGAACTATGTCTTTAATGGCTGAACGGATGGTCAGGTATGGTTTTTGCCTTCTGTGTGGTTATTGGCTTGTGCTCGTGGATCGGAGCTAACAACAGTTGCAACACAGGGCTTTCGACATGCTCATGCTTACCCAGGGACACGGTCGCGAGCGAGAGGGGGTTGAGTGGATCGAGTTGTTCAAGCAGGCTGACCCGAGATTCAAAATAAGAGCCATGAAGCCCATTTCCAAAGCAGCAGACTTTGGCCCGGCCACGGGACTGATAGAAGTCATTTGGCAAGGCTGATGGTGGGTTCATGTCGTTATAGGCCTGAGACTTTTACTGTCGTCCAAATGATTTATCTGAATCCGGCGCGATGGCATCATGGCATACTTATACAAATCACCTCGTGACAAACGGATCCTTGGATATAAATTGAAACGACAAAGATACATGTAGTTGTGATCTCACTTTGACTTCTCAACCTACGCAGTATAGAAAGAATTGATCCTCAGCGGAATGCAACATTAGTCCAAGCGTGGGTGTGGCTGGATGATGTCTTTATGAAGAAATGAACACGAGCGCGCTCGGGCATCTTTACAAGACGTCCTCAGAGATTAAGATGAGGATTAGTAAGAACGACCGTACTGCCTAATCGACGGTAATATCATTTTGACCACATATCGAAGGGGCGCAAGTGTGGCGACTGAGGAAAACCAACCTTTTATGTTTTGTCTGCTAGACGTTGATGCAAACTCCAACAACACAAATTTCCAGCAGACTACGAATGATCACCAACCTCAAGGATTATGCTGGAATAAAAGTGTGTGATGAACCGCAGCGTCTGGTCATTATAGAGAGAAGTAGTTGTTCTATTAAGAATCTACGTATGAGCCGGAGAAGTGGTAAAAATACCCTTCTCGCATGGTCTGTGCGGGTGATACGCCACATCCGTGGCGGTGTCTACTGGTACTAGCCACACGAAGCTATTCCAGCTTCACGACAAAGTGCTTATTATCCATGTAAAAGTTTTGTTCCATATGAAGTGTCTCGATGCGTGGAAAGCGCTCATACAATTATGCCCGTCTGTGTCTAGGAACTTTCAATATGCTGACAGGCCTTCCAAAGTTGTGAACCGGTCTCGGCAATCTAAAATCGGTTAGCTTTACGATGGTTGGTTATTGTGGAAGTTGGTTGAGGACTAACGTTTGCAGGGCTGAATGCTTCGAAATGATTTCCTGGGATAGGAAGCACCTTGATGTGACGGCAAACTAGATTCTCCCAGGCGGCGATGGAAGCATCTCGGTCATTCTGATTGCTCAGCCAGTCGTAACGCAAACCCACAAGACTCTCAGTGTCCATAACGTCTTGACTTCTCAGCATGACGGTTTTCAAGCCTGGCATGCGTGCCATTGCAGATGGATCTGCACCGTAGCGTTCGAGAAGAGACGCGTTCCGTTGAAATTCTTCTTCTAGTGCAGCATTATGCTTTCCTTCCTGGGGCTGGCCATCTGATCTGTTGGATCTTGTTATGCCGGTAATAATCTCCTTCGGGAGTGGCTTGTGGTTGACGGGACTCGGCGAGTCGATCAACACCAGGCCCTTGACCTCGAACCCCTTGGAAAGCAGCTGTCTTGCTGCTTCGAACGCCACGACCCCACCAAAAGACCACCCTTTGATGATTAGCTGGTGCTCAAATGATTGGAAAGCTGAACTTACCGCCGACCATCAATGGGAAATGCGTAGACTTTGACAGGAGAGACACGTAATCTTCAGCCATCTGAGGTATGCTTTCGTAACATTTCTTGGTGCTCCCGAATGACGGATCAAAAAAAGCGAATACATCGCGATCGTAACCCCTTAGCCTGGCGTACGTGGTGGTCTGTCCGCTCCCATCATGGAACAAACACAGCGGCGTCGTTTCTCGGTGAGATGTGTGCAGCGCAACTGGATTGTCCCCGATGCTGTCAGACAAAACCCGGGTCAACGGGGCTGGAGTTGGTGAACCTGGAGGCTGTTCGTTGACCATCATGGGGCTTCCGACAACGGAAGTAGGTTCCACAGAGGACTGCAGCATAAGCCCCAAAGCAATCTCCAAGGACCCCAAGGTTTCGCATTGCGACAGAGTACGATGATTCGTCTTGTCTGCGAATGGGAATGCTCGCGCCAGTCCGGATGCAATCTCGATCTGCATGAGAGAGTCAATCCCCAGCTCGTCTAATGGCTTGTTGTAATCCATGTCTTCAATGGAGAAGCCACCAACGTCCATGACAATCTTTTTCAGTGCCATGTCAACGTCTTGGGTGGACTGGGTGCGTGACTCAGGGGGGGTATTGGTGCCTTTGGTGCTCGTGCTCGGAGTTGTCAAATCAATTGGAACTTGGAGATTGTCTCCTGATGAAGCGCAAACCTCATTGCCAGCGTCGGTGGACTTACGGGCCAGCATCTGCTGGAACGTATACAAACGAAGTCTGCTGAACTCCATGCCCCTGACGGCGGCAATTACTTGCCCGGAAGTATCCATGACGATGGCATCTGCGAGGAAAGCACCCTTGACTTCGAGAAGACTGCAGTATATCTGGAAGGTGCCTCCAAAATCCATGTCACGATAGGATATCTCCACTGCGTCAACTCGCGCGCATATGCACACATCTTCGTCCTTGACCGCGGTGTTTGCAATGAAGCCAGCCGTGTGCAGAATTGAGTCAGTGAAGACAGGGTGCGAGATGTAGCCCGTCCCAGATTCTTGAGGAAGTTTGAACGACCCAATGCCTTCCAGGTTCGAGTCGCTCACTCTGAGATGGTGTATGCTTTGGTATTCGGGAGAGTACCGAACCACGCGTGGGAAGACAACTTCATACAGCACCCGAGTTCGGAAAATGCTGCTGTGTTCTTTCCCAACTGTGTCAAAGTATTGCTTTTGTCTCCTCATAAGCGCTGCATCTTTGATCTGCCGAGAGTCAAATACGTGTTGATCTCGTAGGGATACGACACCGGTGCAGTGAAGGTTTTCTGTTGGATCGCTAGCTGAAGTCGAAGAAACTTTGAAGTCTGCGCCGTCGTCTGACGTATGCTTCGTCAAGTGCACAGAAACATTTGCTTCTTTTGACGGCTTATAGACCAGAGGACTGGCAAAGACCATGTTGGTGACGACCAAGGTCTGGCTGACGAGTGGTGGGATAGCTGTCTCGACTGCCTCCAAAGCAAGCTCATGAAAGAGCGAAGCCGGACAGATTGCGGTTCCCCCGACGTCATGCCCTGAGATGAGGAGACCCAGAGTTTGTAACGTCGTCTCGAACACGAATGTATCGCTCGGAGCCGGCTGAGGCTTCAGCCATGGCAATAGGTTGAATCTGGTCTTTGTGCGAAGAGACGGCAATGATGTCTCGCCTTGTTCAACACTCTGGAGTTGTTCCCGATAAGGGACGAAGAATTTCGGGCCCTTTAGGGGATGCCCAGGTAAACCGGACAACATCCTCGCAGATGTCCCAGCAAAGACCTCGCGCCAGTTGACAGGTATCTTCAGCAGGGAGATGCTGGCTAGGGTCGCACTGATCGATTCCCACGCTTTCTGGCTCTTTTGCAACGTTCCGAGATATGTGGAGGAGCCATGTTGATTCAAGCCCCGAACCATGGGGGTTGTGCTGGGATGAGGGCCGATGTCGAGGAATAGCGCGTTGTGAAGCGGGACGCTTGATTGTAAATCCAACAGACCTTCCGAAAAGCGCACCGGCTCCCTTGCGTGGAGCGCAAAATAGTTTCCAGTAAGATGCTCTGCCTGAAAAAAGCATCCGAATACGTTGGAAATGATGGGTATTGTAGGCGTCGCAAAGCCGATCGACCGTCCAAGTGCCTCAAGATCGTCCAAGATTGGATCCATAGCCTTGGTGTGGAAAGCAAACGGAACGTCCAAAACCTTTGTCTTAATCTTCCACGCCTTGCAGTGTCCCTGGAACTCGCTGATTTGGTCCAATGGCCCGCCGATAACACAGTCGTCAATGCCGTTGAGGCATGCCACAGTCAACTCCGACAAGGCGGGGTTCGTCGAGATCAAGTTCCCGGCGCCATCTGGCGACATGCTGCATGCCAACATTCCGGAAGCATTTGACTCGCAGTACAATGCCATCATTCTCGCCCGAGATGACACGACACGTAAAGTGTCTTCCAATGAAAGTGCACCAGCTATACACAAAGCGGCATACTCTCCAAGACTAATCAGATCTAGAGATCAGCAAGTTTGCACCTTTAGAGCGACCAAGCAACGTACCTGTGTCCTACGACATAGTCTGGAGTGATCCCGAATGACATGAACACCCTTGCCAGCGCCAATTCCAGTACGACACAGGCACATTGTTCGGCAATTATGCGCTCAGACTTCCCCAATGACTGGTCGTTGGACGCGTCGTTGCGGAACATGCCAAGGATGCTTTCGTTCCCCAGCCCTTTGATGATCGAATCGCACTTCGACACAAACTCCCGGAAGGATGGAAATGTTTCCATGAGCTCAGCTCCCACGCCGCGGTAGAAGCCGCCTTGCCCAGAGAAGCAGAACACGGTGGCCGACGCAGACAGGGCAGGAGGGGGGCTCGAAGCCTCGCAAGTCTCCAGTTTGGACCGAAGCTCTTCTACAGAACTGCATGAAACGGATATGCGATAATCATGGGCCTGACGCCGTGCAGTTGCGGTGTAACAGACGTCCTTCAGCAATGACCGATCAGGGCTTTCTCCGAGGAATTTGAGATATTGTTGTACGGTCGCTTGAAGGGCAGTTTGAGACTTCGCAGAGATTCGGAAAACATAGCTGGACCGGTCTCGAGGTCGCGTCTCCGTGTTTGAGTGCTGGATCCACTCTTCCAACAAGAGAGAGGCGTTCGATCCGGCAGCGCCGAAGTTGTTCAGCATAGCTCTTCTCGGAGTTGAAATAGAGTGATTCCAAGGAATCAGTCGTCTCGGTATGACGAATCCAGAGTTCTCCAGGTCGGAGAAGTGCGGGTTGATGGTGTTGAACCCGGCTTGAGGTGGGATCCCCTTTTCACGCAGCATGAGCAGCAATTTGGCCAAGCTCGCAGCCCCAGACGCAGCCTCACAGTGGCCTACGTTACCCTTGATGGAGCTGACAACGATGGGATTTGTCACCGAATGATACGGGCCAAAAACGTGCCGAAGACTTTCCATCTCGCGAGTGTCGCCGGCCTGAAGTCCAGGAGCATATTAGCTGATTGTCATTTTGCCTCGAATTGGCTATGCGAACTGACCTGAGTACCTGTTCCATGCGCTTCTATGACACTAATGGACCTGGGGTCAACCTTTGTTTGGTTAAGAAGGCGTTGGAACAGGTCAATTTGGGTTGGGCTGTGGGGATGCGTGATAGACTGCGCGTTGCCGCTTTGGTTCGTCATAACATCCCGTATGACGCCGTGGATGTTGTCGTTTTCTGCCACAGCATCTGAAAGCCGCTTAAGGACAAACAAGACGCATCCCTCGGCTCTACAGTAGCCGTCTGCAGCCGCATCAAAGGGCTTGCAGCCTCCAGTTTGGCTGAGGAAGTGGCCTCGTGACAGCCCAAGATACATCTGACATGTGTAAGTAAGGCCTTGTTAGGTTTATCTGGGGGAAAATACTGACATCTGGGCTAGAAATCACGTTTATGCCTCCTGCTATTGCGGTGGTGCAGTCGCCCGTCTGCAGGGCTCGACAAGCCTGGTACAAGGAGACCATTGACGAGGAGCATGCCGTATCAGTAACAATTGAGGGACCGCTGAAGCCATGAAAGAAGGAAATCCTTCCGCTATGGAAGGCTCGTAGGGTTCCAGGAGAGTAGAAAACGTCCATGTCGTTGCGGAGATTGTCAGTGTAGTCTCCCGTGGCAAGGCCAATGAAGCAACCGGTAGTCGCTTTCTGAGAGGATGGTGACGAATCTCCGACGTATCCGGCATCTTCGAGGGCCTCCTGCGCTGCGTGAAGTAGAAGTCGTTGTTGAGGGTCCATGGAAATCGCCTCTCGGGGTGAGATGTTGAAGAAACTGTTGTCGAATCTAGTGCAAATCGGAAGTAAGTGGTCTGATTAGTTGAAAAGTGAAAGCCGGAGACCATTACAGGACTGCCAGAGAAGACGACGATGAGTGGTGCATTTCCACAATGAAAAAATACTCATAAGTCTGGAGTGTTCAGGCCAGGACATAAGAAAGGCTGATAGCAGCTGAGAGGCGATGAGACTTACGAGAAAGCGTCATTGAGGAATGCGCCGTGCTTGATGGGCATTGTCCGTGAATGATGAGGTTGTTTCTCGGAGTAGTAATCGGAGATTTGAAACCTGGATTCCGGAATCTCCTGTACAGCACTGAATCCGTGGGAGAGCATCTGCCAAAGCTCGTTTCTGTCCTGGGCGTTGGGGAGTTTGACGCTCATCCCAACGATGGCAATGCTATTCGGATGGTCATCAACCGAATGAGTCGTCGAAGTTGCTTTGAACGACGAAAGCTCCATGAAATCTATCCTGTCATCAGGAGGGTCAAAGATTGGGAACAAGGAATTAGACGATGGCCCGAAAGACAGCAGCTTGACGCATGCTGCAGAATCCTCCCTCAGTAACTCTCTGACGCTTGCAGTGATCTGAGTAGCTGTGTCGTGCCAGTTCACGCAGTGAACAAGCAAATGTCGAGCCAGCAGTTGCAGAAAACCGACCGCGTCGACGTTTGATGCGTCAATCAACGTCCCGTCAAAAGTTGATCGGAGGGGCTTCATAGGCGCAAACAAGGTAGAGAAAACGATGTCTCGACGTTGAGCATCTTCAAGAACCTCGTCAACGACAACCTTGAGTTGATTGCCTCCATGGTACCATCCATGTACATGGGCAAACTTTGTTGCAAAGGCAGACACTCCTTCAGCTTCGAATGCAGCGAGTTCCTCTTTGGGACCAGAGACAGCCACGACGCTGGGACTTAGGATGGCGGAAACACGAAGGCTTTGTGAAGTCGACTGGTACGATGGGCCCAAGCTGGAAAACCGCGTGGCGCAATGCTTCGACAGCTTTTCTTCCACCTGAGCCGATGAGAGACCTCGGATAACGAGAGAGCATGTTGCATCCAAGTTTCCCCCAACTCCATTGCTATCGGGAGAGCGGTTTGAATTGGCGTTCAGGTTCCGAAAGTGACAGCGACAAGCAATCCAAAATGCGAGCCGAAATCCTTCAACACCATTTGCTACGAGGTTGTCGAGGCTGCACGATCGGGCAACAACGGCGGCGGTGATGAAACCCGAAGAGAAGCCCGTGGTCTCTCTGATTCTGTCGAATGAGGCTTCGAAGGGTTCATTGGAACGTTGCGACTGGGCGAGGTAGTGGAGAAGTTGACAAAGGTAGATTGTGGTTGCTTGAAGCACTGGGTGTGCGTGATAACGTTCATTCGGCTTGATCAAGTTCTGCGGAAAGCAGAAGGACGTCAAATTGATGCCAAGATGCTCCTGAGATGCGGCGTCCAGACTCTCAACCTCTTGCAGAAAAGCTGCATGACATTTTGACAAGAGGATGCTGCCAGCAGGAGACAACTGAGCGTCTTCCTCTGCGATCGCGGACGCTCCAGGAGAAAAGATAGACGGTGAACCCTGTCCCCCGAAGAGCACCCAGTAGTTTTCCTTCAACTTGGACATTGATATTGGCGCTTAGAAACGTCTCGATCCCGAATAGTCTTGTAATATGATGTATGGCGGCTCCGGAAACGAGTATAGAGACAGCTTAAACAAGTTCAAGTGGCATCAGGCCGATTGCGTCCGTCCATAAAATTGAGGATTGGCGTACAAGCATGAATCCCAGGATATTCGCTTTCTGGGCATGGCAAAGTCCCCCAAAAGTCGAGGTCATGCTTAAGCTATCGCGACCGATTGCGGTCGATTGGTTCATGGAGTGACGATGCCAAACCCCACCACACCGAGGTCAGCACTACTGTGGTCTCTTGCCATACTGCTGAAGACATGGGCCCTTACCTGACCCTGCATGCTTGACGTGGGGTCACTGCAACTCAACACTTTAACGCGGGCCGGAGTCTGCTGCGGTGAGCGGACCGCAACTTCACGGAGCTGACGGTCACATCGGAGTTACAACGATCAACAATACGTGTTGTCTAACTTGAAGGAGAAGGTGGCCCTCGGAGGTTCCGGTGCAGAAGTCGCCGAAATACACTACTGACACGCCGTAACTAGCACGCCGTCAGAGTTGTCGGAGCATTCTTTCTGCATTGCCCGAATACACAGCCTGTCTCTGGTCCTCGTCAAATAGCTCCTTGCATCCTTGGTCCATCTTGGCGCCCAAGTCTAGGACGACTTTTCCAGGGGTAAATGGATAGTCACTTCCGTAGACAAGTCTCCGCTCTCCACCTTGCCCCAGAGTCCGGAGCAGCCCATGGACTTGGTCCGGGAAGGGGAAGCCGGCCATGTCGAAGAAGAACCTTTCTCGAAGTAAGCCCCTGAATTCCTCACTTCTGTTTTCGCCTCCGTTGAAAGTTGCGAAGGCGCCGATGCGATCCACAATGGAGGGCAGCACGCAGCCCCCATGAGACATGATGAAGGTGATGCCGGGGTACTTGGATACCGTGCTTGAGAGGAGCAAGTTGGCTATGGCGCGCGTCTCATCAAACATGAATTCCATCATTGGGCGAGGGTATTCTTCGAGCGGCTTCATCGGTTGCACCTGGCCACCGGCGCTTAGCAAGTTGCATGTAGTCGGATGGATGAAGAGGATGGCTTTCCGCTGATGGAGCCGCTCAAAAATGGGATCAAGGGCCCTGTCTCCGAGATAAACCCCACTTGCGTTAGACATGACGGCGAATCCTACTGCACCTAGGACATCTAGCGCGTAGTCCATCTCTGCAACGGACTCCTGGACGGAAGGCAGTGGCAAAGACGCGAAGAAGCCAAAGTGGGAGGGGTGCTGTTTGCAAATGGCAGCAAGCTCCTCATTGGTCTGACGAGTCATCCCTGCGGCATGTCGGTCCTGGTTCGGAGTAAGGTGTGTCCCCGGAGACGTTATGCTGAGGATCGACTTGCTGATGTTCAAACTTTTCATCAACGCAATGTGCTCCTCCGGAGTCCAGTCCTGAGACGATTAGAAAGCCAAGCAGCAGGTAAGACGGGGTAGATACACTTACAGGGAGGGCTGGCATCCCGTCGGGCTTCTCATGACCGTTATCGAGCGCATATTGACGATACCCCGCAGGTACGGCATGGCAATGAATGTCAATTCGTTCCATTGTTGAAGAATTTGGAGGGTGGGTTTTTCGGAGCATGTCAACCTAATCAACCAGCTGCTTTCCCGACGGGTTGTCGCCGATACAACCGAGTATCAATCAATTCTTCAGAAAGAAATGGGAGTGAGCTTAGCGGAGGCAATATTTCGTAGTGGGGAATAATAGTCTTGGCCGTCTCCGTCTGGATGAGATGCCAATCTGATGTGAGCATGAGGGATCTTTAACCTGGAGTACCTTTCATCGGGTTCTTCCCCTTTTTTGTATTCGTATGCGTGTTCCTCGGAATCCACGAGATGCCTTTGGACTAAGCAGTGAAATGGCCCACAAAAGAGCCAGCAACTCGTCCATTGTCTTCGTCCACTCGGACCGACTGACTTGGAAAACCCACAAGATATCGTGCAGTTCGCCAAGATGTTTCTTTGATGAAAGGCTGGAGCCTACCTAGACGAACTGACAACAGTAACCAGGTTGGAGAGGCCCCACCGTGGATAAAGTCGGATATCCGCCACCTCTATCCGTAATGCTACCAGTAAGCTGCAATGGCGAGCTGTCCAGCCCTGCAACGCTGTCTTCCCCGTCCCGAACATCCTTGTCTTCCATCGTGGCGCTGCGGATGGTCGGCTCTATGTCCGATCCAGAGGGAGGAGGTGTCTGGATAGCAAGATGAAAAACGAGCTAAGCTGGCTGCAGAAACCGAAGTAACCTGTCAGCGTCGTACTTTTTGTTCCACTAATGAGCTTGCGGACTGAGCCGAGTCGGCAACGGCCCGCTCCTAATGCATGACTTAGCCGGGGGTCTATTCTGGACTGCTTCGCAGCTATCGTGAATCCTGAGTGGTGAACTGCTCTTACAGCAGCCCGCCTATCAAAGGCGTCGGTTGTCACATACGAGACTATCGGTTTCAAAGCAGTCAGTGATGCCGGCTTGCATCACCTTTCGCCATGGACTTGGGGACTTTTACATCTTATTAGCGAAACCAAACTCTGATAATACAAGCTTTTCTCTGTCATTCACCTCTTACACGTCCCGTCACATCACATTTCGCCGTTCAGCAAGTGAAAATGGGTGCCAATAGCCAAATCGCCATCATTGGAATGGCCTGCCGTCTCCCTGGAGGGGCTGACAATCCAGAAAGCCTATGGTCTATGCTAGCTGAAGGCAGAGATGGACGAAAAGAAATCCCAAAGGATCGATGGGACTGGAAGTCTTTCTACCACAAGGACACAAACGCCAAGGAGGCCATCAACTTCAGCCATGGATATTTCCTGGATCAGGAAATCTCGGCTTTCGACGCCCGATTCTTCGGTGTTCCTGGGGCAGAGGCTCCGGGAATTGATCCTCAGCAAAGGCTTCTGCTGGAGGTCACGTACGAGGCAGTCGAGAATGCCGGCATCCCGATCGAAGACCTTCGTGGTTCAGACACTTCGGTCCACATGGCCATGTTTGCTCGAGACTATGACAGAATGGGATATCGAGACACGTCTCAAATGCACAAACAACATAGCACAGGGTCAGGTGACGCCATTCTAGCCAACAGGATCTCGTACTTGTTGGATCTCAAAGGCACCTCCAACACCTTGGATACAGGATGTGTAAGTAATGCGGCGCTGTAGTTTTTAGCATCATACGTGTTAACGTTTCCAGTCCGGCGGCCTTGTGGCGGTGCACCAAGCGTGTCGTACTTTGAAGGCAAACGAAGCTTCCATCGCCCTTGCAGGGGCCAGCCAACTGCTTTTGACCCCCGACCAGTCGATGACCATGTTGTAGGTGTTTCAAGTCCCAAACGTTTCCATTACTTTTCACTGACTGGCTGGTTTAGTAACCTCACCAATAAAGATGGGAGATGCTACACGTTTGACGATCGTGGCGCCGGCTATGCGCGAGGCGAGGGACTTGGCGTTCTCGTCTTGAAGCGGCTTGAGCAGGCTATCGCCGACGGAGACGCCATTCATGCGATTGTCATGGAATCAGGCTCTAATCATGATGGCAAGACAGGTGGAATCTTCTTGCCCAACTCGGACGCACAAGAGTCTCTGGCCCGCAGGGTCTACGCGAATGCTGGTCTGGACCCTCGAGAGACTCTGTATGTGGAGGCCCACGGAACCGGGACTGCGGCTGGTAAGTTGCAGTCATCTCTCAACATGAGGAGTGTTACTGACTGACAACTTGTACAGGTGACAATGCCGAAGTCTCGTCCATATCCAAGGTCTTTGGCCGTGAGGCAGGCCGCAAGTCTGACTTGCCCATTGTAAGTCTCGTGAAACCCTCCACTTCCGCTGTCGCAGGCTCGTTTTCTGTCAACATTTGCTAATTATCATTATTAGGGCAGTATCAAAGCCAACATAGGCCACCTGGAGTCGTCCAGCGGCATAGCCGGCATGCTGAAGGCTATAATGGTGTTGAAAAAGAACCAGATTCCTCCGCAGCTGAACTTAATCAACCCAAAGCCTTCGCTTCATCTCGCGGAAAGGGGCATCAGAGTAAGTAAAGAATCGCCAAGCCTCGAAGTTTCGGCCAAAGTCAGACGCGTAGGCATGGCTTTTGAACGATTGGCAAACCAGTTTCTGATGTTGAATTTGGACTTTGCTAACAATTGTCGTCAGATACCGCTGAAGCTCGAACCTCTTGCACCCAAAGATCACACTGGACCCAGGCGCGCCTCTATCAACAGTTTTGGGTACGGCGGGAGCAATGCCCACGTAATTATTCAGGCCTATGACCCTCCCCCTATATCCAATGGATTCTCCAACGGCGTCAACAGAGTGGAAAACCCGCACGAAACACCCCAGAGACTTGTTGTTCTTTCCGCAAACTCAGAGTCGTCACTCAAGGGTGTAATCGTCAACTTGCGGCGATGGCTGGGATCAGACCTGGGACGTTCGACATCCTTTGACGACCTGGTTTACACCTTGAACGTTCGCCGTTCAAAGCTTCCCTGGCGCTGCAGTGCCATCGTGTCCAACTCTGAAGAGCTCGAAATGGCCATGGGAGATCCGAGAGTGCCCCTGGTCAAGTCTGCACAAGATGTCGGGGTCGCCTTTGTTTTCACCGGTCAAGGAGCCCAGTGGTTCGCCATGGGCCGTGAGCTTTTGTCGGGGTCAAAGGTGTTCCAAGACTCGCTGGCCGCCTGCGACCGAATCTTGAATGATCTTGGTTGCGATTGGAGCCTTTTCAACGAGCTGTCGCGCGACATGAAGACAACACGCCTCGGTGATAGCAGATTTTCGCAGCCATCTACAACGGCGATCCAGATTGCACTTGTCGATCTACTCGGTAGTTTCGGCATTCATCCCCAGGCCGTCTGCGGTCACAGCTCTGGGGAGATCGCCGCCGCTTATGCCGCGGGTGCCCTTTCGAAGGAGGACGCTATCTCGGTTGCCTACAATCGCGGCATCTGGTCCGCTGAAGCCAGAAGCCTCAACGCAACAGCTGGTACGATGCTGGCTGTGGGGGAAGGGGAAGACGCCGTGCAGAAGAGAATCAACTCGCTCAGCCGGGGCAGCAGCAAGATCGTGGTGGCTTGTGTGAACAGCCCCGAGAGCACAACAATTTCCGGAGACGTGGAGGCGATTGAAGAGCTCCAAGCCAACCTGGATGCTTCATGTGTCTTCAACAGACGTCTCAAAGTGGATTCAGCCTACCACTCTCATCACATGGAGACGGTGGCCGATTCCTATCTGTCGTCCTTGGCCGGTATGTCTGGGAATGCCCCCAACGAGAAGATTGCTTTCTACTCTTCTGTCACCGGTAACCGGAAACTCTCCGACTTTGAACCTTCTTATTGGGTTTCCAACCTGGTGTCTCAGGTCAAGTTCAGCGCGGCGTCACAGTCGGTCGCAGAGCACCTCTCGACCGCTGATTCTACAGCCAGCAACATCCTCATTGAGATCGGACCGCACTCCGCACTCTCCGGGCCGCTGAGACAGTCTCTGGGCGGTTTCAAGACCTCTTCGGGAGCAGCTTTCAAGTACACCTACCTCCCTTGCCTGGTCCGCAACGAGAGTGCTACGAAGACTATCCTGGCCTTGGCTGGTAGAGCTTTTGAGGCCGGACACTTGACCAAGTTAGATGCGGTGACAAACATGGACAGAGAGCTTACCTCAAAGCCTCGCCACCGAGTTGTGGACAACCTTCCAACATATCTGTGGGATCACAGCTCTACATACTGGCACGAGTCGAGGCTTAGCAAGGAAAACCGCCTGCGCCCGTTCCCTCGCCATGATCTTCTCGGACTGTACGACATCCACAGCTCCGCCAACGAACCTCGATGGAGACACCACGTCAGCATTGAATCCCTTCCGTGGCTGAAGGACCACGTTGTAGAAGGCTTCATCATTTTCCCCGGCGTGGGCTACTTGATCATGGTCATCGAGGCCATGAAACAACTAGCGTATTTGCGGAAGACCCCAGGAAACGTCAAAAGCGTCAATTTTCGCCATGTCTCCTTCGCAAAGCCGGTCGTGGTTCACCAAGAGGGCGAGAACAAGAGTCGCGAAGTTGAGATGCAGCTCGTCATCAGCCCGCAGCGTCAGCACATGGCTAGTACGTGGGAGTCTTTCCGCATCCTGTCCTACGACGCTGAAAACGACCTCTGGACCGAGAACTGCACTGGTATGGCTTCCTTGGACGTCGAACTCGGAGCGGCACAGCCTGCGGTCGAGGAAGTTCTCGGAACCAGCGACGATGGCCTCGGTCACCTCACAAAGTCGGCGGCGGCGGCCGTGTTAGAGGACGTCAGGGCCGCCTGTCTCGAGCCGATCGACACCGCGAAGGTATATCGTGAGCTTGCGGCATCCGGGAACGAATACGGTTCCAGCTTTCAAGGACTCAAAGACATTCGCGTCTCCAAGAACCACGGCTTCGCCAAAATCGTCATTGACGACGTCGCGAAACAGATGCCGGCCGAATACATGCAGCCGCACACCATTCACCCCACAGCCTTCGACGCGATCATCCAACTCGGAGCCGTGGTTTTCCGCCGCGAGTGCGTCGTCGCCCCGATA